AATATTATACCTAGATCCTTTAGAGATTAATCTAAGATAGTAATATAAATATAAAGTAATATAACCTTTTTAACTTATAAGGCTAGTAAAGCCTTAATTCTACTACCTCTATAAATCCTAGAACTTTTTTAGAATAATATATAATTACTTTAAGATTAATTAAACCTCTTTAGTTAGTTTAATTAAGAGATATATTTATTTAAACCTTAATATATAATTAGTTTTTATACTTAGCACCTAACCTATAATACTAAAAAGCCTTTAACTTTTTTACTTTTTAAAAAGTAATTTTATATAACTTAGCACTTTTACTAGAAGCTACTAGGGAAGTTAAAATAAAGCTTCTTATAGAACTATAACACTAGGCCTTACTTACTTAGTAAGAGAAGAGGTATATTCTCCTTAGCTTTATAGCTAGAGGGCTTTAAATAATCCTTACTTAATATCTATTAACTAATACCCTTAGCTGCCTTAGCTTACTATCTATTATAGTAATACTAAAGATTCTTATTTCTTAAGATATAGTAATTACTATTACTATAAATAAAAAGAAATAAGTAAAAACCCTTACCTTATCTCTTAGTAATACTTTTAGAATTATAAAAAAGAATTATTATCTTCTGCCTATAGATAGATTAGATACTAATTAAGAATTAATTAGTATTAAAAGGATTAAAGATGTTTTATTCTAACTTAGTGTATACTAAAAGTAGTTTAGTATGCCTAGTTATAATATTACCTAATAAGTATTTATTTATAAGAAGCTAGATATTTTTAGCTAAGTAGATAGTATACTTAACCTTAAGTATATTATAAATATATTACTTTTTTATTAGAAGCTTACTATAGCTTTACTAAGTAAGATAAATAAGGCTAGGTTAAAGCTTAAGATAGATATCTTTATTTAGTGTTTTACTTTAATTTTAAAGTGTTTTTATAATATATTACTAATTATCTTTTTAAAGTAAAAATAAATTATTACTAGCTAGGTTAAATTTATAATTAATTTATAATTAGCCCTTAATCCTCTTTTACCTTTAATAGCTATATAAGATTTATAATTAAACTTTAATTAGTCTTAACTTACTATTTTACTATATCTAATAAATATTACTTTACTTTAAGAGATTAATTTTAGCTTACTTCTAGATCTCTTTTACCTTATTCTTTAGGTTAGCCTTTAGGACCTTACTATTAGGCTTACTAGCTAGCTTAAGGCTAGGACTATAATAGTCCTAAATAAGGTAGTATCCCTTACTATTAGGCTTAGGGCGCTTCTTAGCTAGGCACTTTATAAATAATTAGTAATTAATTCTTAATTATTTATAGTAAAATCTTACTATATTTACTATTATAGTTACTACACTTAGTAAGGTTAAGCTACTTTTTTATAGCCTTAAGATTAGGCTATAAGGTGTTAGTAATAATTTAGGATTAATCTTATAAAAAGCGTAGTTTACTTATATACTAGGCTGCTCTTTTTTTTAGCTTTATAAAAATAATAGCTAAGAAGTACTTAGTAAGGCTATACTAGACTTTATCCTTATTAAACTATATAATATACTACTTAGGCTACTATAGCTATTTAAATTTAATCTCTTATTAGAGATTATTTTTAGGTTAATTTAGTATAAATAACTAATTAACCTTAAAGCTAAGATTAACTATAGATTTAGTTATAAATTAATCTTTATTAAGGCTAGGATTAATTAAAGTAGTTACCTTTTTTTTATTTTTTTTATTTTATAAGCCTTAATTCTTCTTATAGTTAGACTTTTTTTACTACTTCTTAAGAGAAAGCTTATTCTTAGATTTATTTTTACTTAAGCTAGTATTATATTAGGATTACTTTATACTCTTTTTTAATTAGGCCTTTTTTAGAGGGTAAAAAATAATATTAGTAGTCTAATTATTATCCTTATTTACTTACTATATACCCTTAAGGTAATAAGTATTAACTTTTTTATAGTAATCTTTAAAAAGTAAGTAAAAATTAATTAACTTTTAATCTAAGGTTTAACTTACTAGTAAGATCTTAGTAGTATATAGTATTTAGATTACTATAGGCTTAGTAGATATTACTATAAGTAGCTATATACTAATATAGGTTAAAGTTATTTAAGGCCTATTTATACTATTATATTATAAGCTTAGATTAATCTTAAATAAATCTAAAAGTAGACTTATACTATTTTAGTAATATATAATCTAACCTTTTTTTAATATATTATAGCTATAGTAAAATACCTCTTTAAGGGGGATAATAAACTTTTTATTCTTAAATAAATATTAGTAATTAAATAATACTTTTTTTAAGAATAATTAATAAACCTTTTTATCTTAAATAGAATAGCCTTTTAGGCATAATTAATATAAGGTATAGTATATATATACTATAAAATTAGTAAAGGCTATAAGGCCTTAAGAGTAAAATATAGTAGTTAAGCTATAATTAATCTAAAGATAATCCTTAATAAAGTAAGTAAGTAATAAAAATCTTAATATAAAAAGTAATTTAAGATTAAACTTAAATTAATAGTAGTATTATATAAAAATAAAGCTATTTAAGATTAAACTTAGATTTAAGTAAAAAAGGATATAAAGTAAAAAAGTTTAAGAATAAGCTAAAAGTATTTTAAATTAATTTATAAGTAAGGTATAGTATCTTTAGGCTAGACTATATACGCCTAGTTAATAAAGTAATAAAAGGTAGTATTACGCCTAATTAATAGCGTAATAAAAAGTAGTAGTACGCCTAATTAATAGTATAATAAAAGGTAGAGGCTAGAGAAATAAAAGGCAGCTAAGAGATATATCCTTTATTTAGTGTGTCTAAACTAGAATTATCTTAATATCTATATTAATAAAACTATAGCCTAAGGTAGACTTAAGGTAGATAGGAATAGTCTAGGATTAATCTCTGTACCTGGCCTAAGTCGCTATGTGGGCCTAGGCCTACACTTAGGAGCTGACCTGACCTACCCTCCATTAATGGCGAAACTTTGGATAAGTTTCTGGAGTGGGCCTAGGTCAGGTCAGCCAGGGGGGGGGTACGTCGGGTGAGATGTATAACGGATTTTTCATCCCTATTTCATTTTCCTTCTTTCTTTGCCATTGACCTATCGTTTAGTCGTGTTTTACCAAAACCACCAACGACTGACTGCCTCTTTGTCTGTACGTCGTTGTTGCCAACCGTTGACGATCAGCACCCAACCCGGTGTAGGCGTGGTCTTTCTGTTTCTTCTTTTGCGTGGTTCCCGTCTTGGCCCGTTGACAAAAGAAAACAAAAACCACAAATCCATCCATCCACCCATCCACCTTGCCCGCTCCACCCCCAGCTCCAGAGTCAAGATACGACCAGCCAGCACATACACATACGCACACACACACACACACACACACACACACACGCACTCTCTCCCACGCGACTCAAACGTCTTGTCGTTTACAACGCTGGCTGGACCGCACTAATTTGAAATGCACTACCTACATGAGCCGCCGCGCCGATCAAGCCCAAACTAGATTGCTCCACGATTACCAACTGACCAGCTCTATGTCAGACGGGCTTTGACTTCGCGCTATGTTCCCTCATCCACGTCAATTTGTCAATCAGTCAGCCGCAGCCGCCCGTCCATCTCGCCATCTTACCGGCACTCCCGCCCCTCCCCCTCTCTCAGGAAAACTTCAGCCTTCAGCCTCCCAAAAGATGAAAGCAGTCAATACACCGAACCCACCCATGTCGCCATCGCTGTTGCCGTCGTCCGTGGCCCGGCATACACTTCGTGTTCCGTCTGTCCCGCCCCTGCTGCCCCGAGTCCCTGTGCCTCCGCCACCGGATTCTCCTGAACCATCCCATTCGTCGTTACATCGCTTCAAGACCAATCGGTGGGACTTCCAACCAGGGCTTGGTCCTGTACGATCCCCGCTCCCGGGTCCTGTGAAACTATTAAGCGATATTGCCTTTTCGCCGTTGGGATAACTGCCCTGGCCCCGTCGGCAGCAGCCATTCGCGACGCTGACAACGACAACCACGACATATAATGCACTTGGAACCATAGACCGACCAAGTGGCGTCGCAAGTCGCATGCCGCGTTGCTCTCAGTTGATTCTGCGCTGGGCTAATCCCGGGGTACTCTAGTGAGATCTGCTAGCCATTCTTAGTCTCCAGTCTAGCTTAGAGAAGCGAGCCTTATTCTCGTCTCTCGTGAGGTTGTCCAAGTCAGCAGTCTTGACGGATACTGCCTGCCCCGGCCATAACAAGACTGTAGCCGCTTCATGCCGGCTTTCTTTGGCCCTCTAATATCTCTCATGCTGCTGCTTGAGATGCCAAAGCCGTCAAACTCGTATCATGTTTAATGGATTAGTCTTGCCAACTTCTCTGCGTTTGATAAGACTACTATGTGAACGAGATGACCTGAGGATTAGCTTGAATTGAGCAACAGCCTATGTTAGTTGCTTTTTAGTGTATTGGAGTGTTCTATAGACACTCCTCGCGCAGATAGCGTCGGCAACGGCACTCGTACTAGGCCATGGAAAGCAGCGCCGAGCCGGCCTGGTAGTACTTGTCAGCCACGATGGTGGAGACGGGCCATGTTTGCAATAGACACTCCCAGAGACCGTTCCACACAGCATTAGGGGCGGGGTCAAGGCGATAGGAGTCCGGTTGGTCATTGTGTCTCTCTAGATGAAGAAGTGAAGCTGTTGGTAAGTGATGCGTACTCAGCGAGAGCGGATGTCAATTTCCACAAATTAGAAGGACGAGATATTGGATGGCAATGAAGACCTGAACACCTCGTGATCACGCGAATCACTTAGCTCACCCCGTTCTGTCTATTTATATCACACACGAACATAATATCTTATCCTTAGAATGTTGACTATACCTTGAAATTTGTATTATCGGAAGCACCGTTGAGAAAGATAATCTATTAGCACCAAGGAAAGCCTGTGGCTTCGTGTTGAAATGCAGCTGCCCTCTCCCTTTGTTTTCTCCGTGACCTTCATGTCTCTCCATCCTGTCCATCCGACTGGCACTCGTCCAGATTCTCCCCAAGTCCCTTGAAACACACCCTCAGAAACTCCAAAACCTCGACATACTCGACACCCACATCTTTCCTTTCTGCCCCTTGCTTTGCGTAATCCAAAGGCGACATGTCAAGCGGCCCAAAGGGTCGCCGCAACGCTCTGATATCGACCCCCCGTCGGACGGCAAGGATCTTTACCGCATCCACCCTAGCCTCCATCACGGCATTGGCAAGTGGCGTGGCCCCATCGCCCGCCGCCGAGTCCGGGTCGATCTCCGAACCCCCCGGCGCCGCTTCCATCGTCTCTCGATCGCCGTAGCGAGCAAGCATGTGCAGCGGCGTCTCGCCGTTCGCGTCCTCCGCGTTGATCAGCCCCCCGGGCACGACGGAAAGAAGGTAACGAAAGAGGGGGTATCTCCTATGGGACGCCGCCATATGCAAAGCCGTCCGTCCTATGCCACAGACTCTGGTAAACCTGACGCCCGGATATCGTGCTAAAAACTCGGCCGCGTCGCCAACCTCCGGGTAGGCAATGGCTAGGAACAGCGGGGTTGATCCCGACTCGAGCGCCTCTCGATTGACGTAGTCTACGTCATGGCGGTTTGCCAACAGGATAGCCTCGACCACGCGCGCATGCCCGTGCAGAGCGGCGACGTGCAGCGGCAGCATCCCGTTTCGGTCCCGGACCTCCTCCGCCGGCGCGAGGCCCGGGTGCGAGCGCAGCTCCAGGTAACGGTCGCGGCACCCGACCGCCGTTGCAAAGTGGAAGAGGGAGAAACGTCTCCCTCGGACCCAGTGCGATGCCTCTGCCCCGCGCACAACGAGTTGTCGGACAATGTCCGGCCTCCGGTCCAGAATTGCGGCGTGCATCAGCGAGAGGCCCTGGTTGTCCTTCTCGTCGAGGCCGACCGCGGTAGTCAGAAAGGCGAGGTGGTCGAGAGTCCATCCCTGCGACGGGATAGAGGCGAAGTTCCGTGGCGCAAGGCCGAGCCCGGCGCCGTTCCTCGCGGCAATGTCGTGGACCCAGATTTTGACGTAGCATCTCGGCTCGCGATAGTGCTCGCCGCTGTCGAAGAGCAGCGGCCCAAAGACGGAGCACGGGGGGAAACGCGCCCACACACGGCCGAATCCTTGCTCGACGTGAAACCATTCGTGTAGTCCAAACCTCCTCATCAGGTCTTCGGAGTACATGTCGCAGGCCAGTCGAGCTAGGCGCACCAGCGCGGTCTTCTCTGAGTCGGGAGCCCTTCATCGGAAGAGCAAGTCGCGCACTTGCGCCCACTTGGGCGGCTTCTCTCCACCGTGGCTTGCCATCGCCGGACGCCGCGGCAGATCGCCGTGCAGATCGGCGAGCGCGGTTTCGAGAACCGCTCTCTCTGCTGGGCAAAGAGCCCCCCCTCCGAGGCGTGTTTTAAAGGCCACGGAGAGCTTGTCTTTGAGAAGGGGCAGGCTCAGATGCAGGCTCGAGACGTACGGGACCTGAAACTGCCCCTCCAGCCCGGGGCCCTTGAAAATGCGAGTGTGAAGCGTTCTCTGACTGTGATGGATTTCGCACTCGCTGTTGAGGAGCTGGACCACAGTGATGATGTTCATACTATTTCGTCATCAGCCTGCGCGTGGTTCACGGGGGGCCACACGTGCGTGCGAGGGGGAGGGGGCTTTTAACTTACACGTCCTCGACGTCCCATGTCCCACGAGGGGGTTCGTAGCTGTGCCTTGGAATGACCGGAGTATTTGAGACAGTGATGACGGCATCTTCGGGCTCCTCTTGGTTCGTTGCCGGTCGCCTGGCTCTCCGCTTGATCTCTCCGGGCGAGGACTCCAGCCCCTTAGACAGACATCGGTCGCACTTTTGCGGCCACGTTCGAGGCTGGGGGGTGCACTGATCAAGTCACCGGGACCATCATCAGAAGCTATTTGAAAAAGACACATGGAGAGATAAACCCTCCCTTGAAGGTAACAAAAATGAGGGTGTCTACCTTCAACTTTTGTTGTCTGCAAAGCTGACACTTCTCGCTGTCAAGTTTCCGCGGCGTGCTCTTCCTTTTGCCGGATATTGCACATGTTTCCTCGGTTCCAGACAGATGGCTGCCGGATAGTGATCTGCCTGCTGAGGGATTCGAGTGATTTGTAGGCTTACGCGAAGAAGGTCGGAGAACCGGCAAATCCGCGGTCCTCACCTCATCCGTATCGCTTGATGTGAGCTCCATTCGCGAGTTTCGTAGTACTCTTCCCAGCCCGATTGCCAGCGCTGGACGCAATGAGTGGAAGTACGGACAGCGAACAGACCTTCGTGGGATGAGGTGATGATATTTGTAGGCGGATCAACCAAGCTGAGTTAGGCTGTGCGAAAGGGTGCACGATGCATGTAGGTGGTGGGTATAGTAGGCCAGCAAATAGAAAAGCCGCCGCACTTTCACCCCAGTTCATGTACCATCATCGCACTTCATCGCACTTATCCACTTGGGTGTTGGACCTGTCAATGCTATGTAATATGCCCAAATAGTATTGTAAGCTATATTTACTGAAGGCCCGGGCGCTATTGATCATTATTCTTTTTGCATAATGAACATATTATCGACCCCCCTTCAATGATCATATTACTACCATATTTTTAAGCTGGACGGGTGACCATTAGGATTATGATGCTCGCCAAATACCAATGATATAGTACATAGTGTAACATCATTGACAATGGTGCCTTGACAAGGAGAATTTACATCTTCCAATATGCTATCTACAAAAGCATTGCCACATGAGTATTGACCGCATATTACCTTTCGGCCCGCCTTCTCTAACTCATTCTTCTTGAAATTCCTAGACAACACCAGCAATAACTAGTATTATCCCGGCTCATGCGCTGGCTCGATGCTTGAAAACTGGACCGCCGGTCCATAAGACTTGCGTAATGGCGGTCACAAACGTGATCAGTCCTAAAGTCCAGCCAACAGTGCCCCAACCGGCAGCATCGCGTATCATTCCACCAAGGATAGGGCCAAGCAAGGCACCTCCCGAGAAGGCCATGTTGTACAGGCCATAGGTCTGTGCAAAGGAGCTTTGCGCCGAACTGGGCATGACCTCCTCAACCACCCAGGTGATTTCTGCCATCAGCGGGCCGAGCACCAAGGCCATGGCAATGCCCACCCCAGCAAGCAAGACGCACAGGATAACCTTTTGCGACAAGCTATCGCCATCAACAAAGCGGAGGCAGATGAAGAATGGCGTTGCAAGCAGGAACCCAAAGCTCGACAGTAGTCTGGCACCCCAACGGTCACAAGCAGCGCCGACCAAGGGGCCGAGTAGCGAGGGCGAAACCAGCGGTAGGAAGATAAGACCAGCACCGACAGAGTCCCAATGAAATCTCTCTGAGACGAAAAGGGGCAGGGTACTGTCAAATGATGTCGTGACGATACCGTGAGCGAGGGTGCCCCAGAGAGCAGCAAGATGAGAAATGCTGGCCTGTGGCTTGGTTTGACTTCTTGGGGTGTTGGCCCAGTTGTATGGCCGTCGTGGACATGGTGCTCGTCATCTAGAGCAATCCCACCAGCACCTATTTGAACATCACCCAACCGCGCCTGAGCTGTCTTGACGTCGATAGCCATCAACCTCATCACAGTATCAACTGCTATGAGACCGAAGCACATGGAAAAGACGGCATAGTAGCCGCCAGCGCTGTATACCAAACCTCCTAGCATCGGCGACGAAAGGATACCCGCGCTCATGGCCATTCCAACCTATCCCATGGCTTTCCCAATGTTATCACTCCTAGTGGCGTCGACGATGAGGGTGAGGCCAACCGTCCAGACGAGAGCAGCAGATATGCCTTGCAAACCACGACCGATAACGAGGAGGGGCATATTGGTTCCTGCACACAGAAGTGCCGTCGCCCCGCCCAAAAGCCAAAGACCGGCAGCCATTGGCAGGCGGCGAGAAGAGATACGGTCGGCAAGGTAGCCCCATATTGCTGCGAGCGTCGGTGAGACGAACGATTCCGCATATGTCATGTGTCTTACTCGAGGGGAATCTTACGCGAAGAGATCAGAAGAGCGGCTCCATACACTGCGAGGAGAATCGAGACCCAGAACTGCACTGCGCGACGTAAACATCCCGTCAGTCACGGCCTCGAGCCGAGACTCACCTTCGCCTTCGCCGATCGCGACGCGGTAGGTCAGTGCGAATGGAAGGACCGGTACGATTACACCGTAGAGGAAGACATCCTATGTGCTTGTATGAGCACCGAACATGTGAGAATGTAATCCCAGCATGGAGAATACTGTGTAAAGACCGCGAATGCAACTGTGACGATGATGAACACCACAGAACTGCGGTAAGTGGACAAGTAAGGGACGCGTCCCTGAGCGGCGGATTCCATTTTCAACGAGCGCGTTTTGCGATACGATATTGACGACAAAGGCCAACATTTGTTCAAGGAACAGAAGGACCAGAGCGAGGAAAGAAAATAGTGTAGCCAGGCAAACAAACCTTTTGCCGGGTACTCGCTGTCTAACCGAATACTACTCTGTAGAGTATTTTTTCATGTTTTATGATGTAATAGCCTATGCACGAACCTCTGGAAGAGGAAAAGCAGGCCAAGAGTCTTGGCTGGCATGCCTTAGTCGATTGATAGTGCTGCCGCCATATCCCTGCTACCATGCCATGCCGTACAGGCGCCTCAGAGAAAACTGTCATAATCGTCACGGAAAAGTAGCCATGATTAAAGGGGATGAACATGATGCCTCGGGTTGGAACTGCTGGAAACTTGGCCTCTCAAATGCAATGTTATTTGCTTCATTTTGTTGGGGAATTACTGAAACGAAGATCGGAACGCAGGGTTTGGTTTTTCCACATAACCTGTACTGGCTGCGACCGAACAGGTGTCATGATTTTCGTTGGCGTCCCATACGGAGTGAACGGCTTGATCCTCCGCTGGACCTCCTCTGTCATCGGGCAAACTAACAAGAAGGCCGTCGCCATGGCCATGGCCAACCTGCTTTAAAATGCGGCCAACGGTTACACACAGTATCTCTAGCCTGATTCCCACTCTCCTGGCTTTCTTACTGTTATGCTTTCTAGTGCTGGCTTCTCCCTTGGTGTTATTATCTGAGCATGAGTTATGGAGTTTGCCTTGGTGCGCACTAACCGCAAGAAAGGAGAGACAGACCTGGATATACGTCTATTATATTGACAGCGAGAACGAAGGACTCTTGATTGCTCATGAAACCATGAATCTACAATGAAATGCATGTACGTAATCTTCAAGGGCCGGCGACGGACAGGGACAAAATATAAAGTTGATGAATACTAGTGCTTGGCGAACAGAATCAAACTCTCATTCTTGAATCCGATTGTCCATTTTTGGCCAAGTTGTTAACTCTAACCTTACTTAGTTATTTTGTTAATGTCTAACCCCATCAGGCGGGGGCCGGTGTGGAAAGAGCTCCCAGTGTGATAGTCGAGCAGGGAGCATCATAGACTTCTGGCTTCACAAGTCGAGGCTTGGGTTCGTTTTCAAATGCGAGCAAAATCAGAGACTCCTCGCTTGGGTCAAACATCGGCCAACCAAAAACAGAGCTCAGTCCTTCAAGTGGGTCGTTGGCGAATGTAGCCCAGACTTTCTGCATGAGTGTAGTCGTCTGCTTCTGAGGGTCCGATGGTGCGATACCGCTCACGTCCTCTGATGCACCGAATATCATGTGTAAATCGACGCCGTGGTATGCACCACTGGTGGGAAACAACCGGGTATTGTCCCAGTCACCAAAATAGCGATAGACCCATGTTGAAATCTCTCGCTCACGACGCGCTTTTGCTTGATAGGAGTTCGGGCAGGTAAAGGACTCGAGGAGGAAGGATGCAACTTGATCTGAAGTCGGCACAACACCATTACGGTAGGCCGGTATCCTATAGTAGCCATCCTCGTTGTTGTTATTTCCAAACAGGACAGGCTACAAAGTTAACTTCGGGTTTTCCTCACGCAAGATCAGTTTGACAAAATAAGACATACCAGACTTGAAAATTTTCCGGCTCTCGTCAAATACACGTAATCTGGGAACACAATCTCATTATCAACCGTAGGGTAGAACGGCGGGATGCCTCGGAGGACGCTGCTGCTTGACGCTGGGCGTACAGCAGCCGCAGCAGCTTTGATATCTTCCCACTTCCGTGTGCGCATACATCTCATGGTATCAGTGGCGTTCAGGCAGTTGACTGCCGCTACGACTGACTTCCAATTTCGCTCCGGGACTCCCGGGCTGTTGAGCGGGAAGCTGAAGGCGTTGCCTGAAGGTGCAATTAGACCAGTGACGATCGGATCCTCCGTGTAGGCATAAGACCAGTAGTCAACGGCGATGCCACCAGAAGACTGGCCTGCAATGGTGATCTTGGTGCGGTCCCCGCCGAACCCAGCGATGTTATCGCGGACCCATTCCACAGCAGCCCGTTGATCTCGTAAGCCGAGGTTTTGGGGTTGCCCTGGGGCTCCAGGAAAGCCGAAGATGTTAAGGCGATAGTTAACAGTGACTACTACAATGTCCTGGGCCGCCGCGAAATATTTTCCGCTGTAGAAAGGACTGTTGGTGTTACCAATTGCGAAGCCTACGTACCATGTATTAGCACCTTCTGGTATCTCTTTCGAGTATCTTTGCCAAAACTACTCACGTCCGCCGTAGAAGAACACTATAACGGGGTTCCTGGAAGACCGAGTTCCGTTTCCGGATCGTCTGGTCCAAATATTCAACGTCAGACAGTCTTCGCTCTGCGGCGTCCCGGCAGATGATGCGAAGTAGTTGATGATTCCTTGTGCCTGGGGTGTCATGCCTGGATAGTCAATCTGTGGCGAGGGGGAAAGAGGGCAATCGGAGCCAAACTTGGACGCATAAAAAGACTGGTTGTTGGTAAACGGCTCCGGCGGAGCGAATCGCAAGCGGCCGATAGGAGGCTTGACGTATGGAATACCAAGATACTCTAGCACATCGGAGCTGTTCGACGCCAGATGACCCGTAATGGGCCCGTTTGAGGTCTCTACCGTAAGGAAGCTCGATATGCTTTCTCCTCGGGTCGGCGAACCTATTGATACGCCTCCGAGGAGTGCCAAGTAGGTACAGTGCGACACTAGAGTGATAGTTCGCATTGCGCTGTCACTGCTGTGAGGCTTGAAAACCTTACTAGATGAACAGTGTATGGTTTCCAATAGTCAGACATTGACCAGTTTTAACCTCCTGCGAAGCGATCCATTAGTTGCTCTCGCTTACCGAGCCAAACCAGTGCTTATCTCCCTTATGCTTACGTAGTTGGGCGGACCTCCACCAGCCGATACAAAGTTCCTATGTTCGCGTATTCGCGCCACTAAGCTGTACAAGGGAAGTAAGACCGCCGCTAGATCGTTTGTGTCGTGGATTGATTCTTCTGGTCGTGCCACAGGGCTCGACGAATTACATCCACGAAGCACCCTCTAACCCCTGAGTGCTAAGACAGCTTCCTGGTTCTCTGGTTTTCACAGTAGAGTCAAGATGTTGCAAGGGGGTGCAAGATATCTCGTACCCTTGCGTTTCTTGACCATGCCGGACAGAAAGAAATAATTAAAGGGTTTATGATAAGCCAAATATTAGATTTAAGCAGCTAAATTCCTTGAGTTGAGCTCCTATCTACTGGGTTTGAATATCGCTAAACACGGCCACTAAGGTCATGTTTGTCTATTGCAACGCCACGCCGAAGAGTTTCCTTTTTGCTTATGTACAGTATTTCCGACCTTGGTATTTCGCTCCGTAAAACTACTGACCTTCCAGTGGTTGAGAGCAGCACCTTCAATCTGCCTCCTCGCAAGACGCGGACAAACTCAAGGAGACAGTTATCTGTACTTCTGTCCTTCAACCAATGAAGCCCATCTATGATGCAGAAGACAGGACCAGGCATTGAATTTGTCAGATTGGTCAGTACAGAAAGTGCTGTGTGCCAACGTTGGATGGTGCCGTCGAGGGAATTGAACTTTTCAGCCGAGAAATCTGAGGACGCTTCAAAGACAGGCGGTAAAAGCTCAACCAACTGCCTGATAAGCGAATAGACCAGACCAATCAACGACTGTTCTTCTTTGCTGTCATTCCCAAAACGCAGCTTCTGGCCCCGCCGAAGTTCACAAAACTGTGATATTACGGGGGTCTGCGATTGCTCTGCCAGGGAAATGACTTTGGCAGCTACCATTGTAATCGGATTGTCGAAGTCGTCGCATTGCATAGGCTCGCCATCGAGCCATAATAAGTTGGGTGCCGGCGCTTTCGCCCATTCACTGATGTTCTTGAGAATCTCTGGGCTCGTCATGACGGGACTGAAAGAATGGGCAGGTAAGCGAACTCTGTCTCTGTCGAAGTAGTCCTCTAGAAACCGTGAGTTCAAAGCTACTTCTTCAGATGTGTATGTAACTAAGCAGGAAATAGTCAGCTATAAGTTTACGAAAGCTCTCAATTAATCATTCCGAGACCTTTGATGCTTGGCTGGACAAGTGAAAATGCCACAGTTGGGTTGACATGTGGTTGCCGTGACAGATCGTGCATGCCGCGGGCCCTCTCTAGCCAGCCCAGGGCTTTGCCCTCGAGTAAATCCACGATACTGTTGGCAAGCTGTTGCCGTTTCTCGAAGCTCCAACTGTTCAAACTTCGTTGCTGATCTCTTCTTATCCCCTCAGCGTGATGTATCATCTCAGCTTGGTGTCGTCTCTCGCCCTCAAGACCGACGCGTACGTCTCTTGCAAGGTCCTCTAAAGTTAACCTTGCAGACCGCGCCTCGGCTCGTGAGTTTTGTTCTGCTCGACTGCGGATTCGGTTCGTTATAGTTCTTATTTTCTCCATATCATACTCGAAAACGGTTGGCAAGTCCTCGTTGAACGAGTCAAGTAGACGTCGGCGTCTTTTCTTCATCATCCAGTCCATGACGGTCGTCAAGAAAAGAAATATGTGAGAATACAAGTCCACGATAAGCTTTTGCATGTCTTCTGTTCGAAACAGCTCCTGGTCAATTGCACAATCACCCACGTATTCGCCGATTGTGCAAAGGGCACCCGAAAGCCCTTCTACAATTTTCTCGTGGTTGGCGCTTGCCTATACATAGTAGGCGTCTCTATCAGCCCGGAACTTCAGCGCAAGCCTTGGGTAGTGGACTTACATGGATGATGACGTTCAAGGCCCCGGTAAAGATCGAGACGTACTCGTTTCCGGAAGGCAGCACAGTCATCATCAACTTATGTGAGTTGAGTGTGCCGCAGAAGTTATGGAAGAATCTCTTTGCCTTGTTCAACCGACCATTTTGGCGTTGGAATTCCCACGTCTTTTGGATTGCCTGAACAGTGTCGACAACACCTTTCATGGTCGGCTGCGACATTGACAAGTCCAGTCGTTCTGCGTCCGAACAAGAGTCCCTAAAAACTACCCACTTCTTTCTCAGAGCTGCTGTCTCCACGTCCAGGACCGTGTTAACGAGGCCATTGCTAAGAGGTCGGCTGGTCAGTATACCATGCCTGTAATAGATGCGAGGGTTATGCTGGTTTCCAACTAACATGTCCTCACTTTGGTCTTGGGGCTCGAAAAATCGTCGCCAAGGATCGATTGCTGCGTTTCTATTTTCTTGTCCTTCTGTCAAGACTTGAGCTAGCGCATGCGCTTCGCTGCCAGGAGGATTCCGCTCTTCCGCCTCAACACTGTATAGCCGCACGAGAAGCCTTGAATCTCTGACATTGCTTGTCTCCATACCGGCGATCTGAGCGTGGGAGGTCTGAGAGATAGGCAAACACACACAGAACGATCGCATGCGAATTCGCGCCTCCTGGTTTCCGGTCGAGGGTTGTGGTTGTACTGTCAATCACCCTGGTGGCTGTTAATAACAGCAAGTGGCCATCTGAAGCTGATCAAATTTCTGTCATTTCCACCTGCGGGTCTGCAGCTGGTTTTACTTAGTTTCGGCCATGAGCAAGTTCCTGGGGTGTGCGTCTTGTTATTCGCTCACTGCAAGTGTATGGTTTCTATTACTGCATCACTAGCTGCATATGATGCTGCACGATTATGCCCTTCTTGTAGGCAAGCAATGTAGCACGGTGATGATCGTGTCATATCCTTATTGGTTGCCTTGTGGATAAAGTATGAGGTGTTACTTCACATTGTATTCAAAATCTGGAGCGCATTCTGTCTCAACAATCCTCAATCAAGCTTTGCGTCGACAACCATGGCAGCTCAAAAAATTGCTGATGCGAACCCTCGGCTTGACAAACACATCCATAAAAGACCAGAGGATGATGTTTCTGAAGGTACTCCCCTTGATGTCATCAATGCTCAGGAACATGGAGTGCAGCCGCAGATTTCTGGAGACGCTGCCACTGGCCACAGTAACAGTGAAGAACCCAGAGAGACTAAGGCGGCCTGGATTGGATACCGCTTGGAGTATCGCAATCGTTGGACTGGCGACTTGATTTCCGAACGGACTTACGAAAAAGGCAACGAGCCAAAAGACCAAAAGACGGATGGACCCATATTCGAGTTAATCACATCCTACAAAGTCTCAACGCACTCACTGGATCCGGACTCTTCAGGGCCAATGACTTCTCAAGCAATGCCGACGCACCAAATTCGAATCCACTCGATAGCCATCATCAACGCCTTACAGTCAGTCGTCCGATACTACCCCGGTCAGGACTTAGCAGGCGAGTCGATTGTTGTTCAAAAACCGTACGCAGTCTTGGTTCATTACTACGACGAGCTACAACAGTTTCGCCAGGATTGTCTTGCGAAATGCCCACATGAGTTGTGTGATCGGGAGAAGCATGCATCAGAGCATTTAGGAATCCTGCTAGGTTTCTTGGATGATGAGGTTATGTCAGGCGTAAGGCAAGAACAAGAGCGGAACAAAAGGGGGTCTGCGACGTTCGAATGGCGGTGGGTTGCGTACAAACCAGGCGTCACCGTTTTAGACAAAACCAGCACAGGTGAATGGGAAGCTTCGGTAGTGCACTCCATATCAGGAGGTCTATTTGAGAACCCCCCGAAAGACTGGGAAGTGAAGCGATGGTGCATGGACTATGATGGTGAGAACATCGAACGCATCTGGGCAACTCCAGTAACATGGCCCAAATTCGATGGCGAACGAAGTGATTCCAAGGCTGGATTGGAGACCAAGTTCTTTGATCCTACACTTGACGAATCGTATCTGGATGACGAGAATGTAGTTGGGTTGGTTGACAACGGCAAAAAGTTTGCTGCCATGGTTAAGAAACAGTGTTTTCATCACAAAGGCAAAGGGGCTTCCTTTCCCTTCAACAATGTAAGTCCCTCTTTACCAACCTCTAAGTCAGTAATGCTGACATACGATATCTCAAGATCGAAGGCTTAGCAATGGTCGATCTTGATAGCTACTACACAGTACGTTCGGATGCAACCCCGTCGTCAATAGACACAGACGATTTGCGGAATTGGTCGACAGAATGCACATGCGAAATTTGCGAAACTCGCAAACAATCTCTTGGTCGGAACATTGCCCCTTTATTCAGTAAATTTGGTGGCCAGAAGGAGAACGAGACAGGGCTTACCAACCATGAGTCCCTTTTGTGTCCGTCGGCTGTGATGGCTTACGTATTCAGGACTCGAACATGGGGTACGAGATCGAGACCTAGTTTGAAGAATCCTGACGCTGATTTTGTGGCAGAGTACGTTCACATCAAGAACCTTCAAAGACCAAAATTCAACGAAAACATGATCGGTCACTTGGTGATGAGTGAACAGCGCTTGAAAACACTCAAAGCTCTTTCGAAGAGCTTTGCCAGAGTCAACAAGCACGGCGAAGGAATAAAAGATTCCAACTGGAGCGCAGACTTCGTTCGTGGGAAAGGAAACGGCCTGATATTTCTATTACATGGAAAGCCAGGAGTAGGCAAAACTTGCACAGCTGGTAAGTGCGATGCCTTGCCTCTCTGAGTTTCCTAACTACATGATTGATGACGGTGACTAGAATGCATTGCCGAGTTCACCTGCCGCCCTCTGATGGTATTGACAAGCAGCGACGTGGGCACAGATCCCGAGCAAGTGGAATACAACCTTACCTCTAACTTCAAGAGGGCCATGAGCTGGGGTGCTGTCTTATTGATCGATGAAGCCGATGTTTTCATGGAAAGAAGGACGACATCAGATCTCACGAGGAACAGTTTGGTGGCCGGTAAGAAAGATGTCCCCCTTCAACGAGTTGCATCCGCGATTAAAGAGCCAATAAACTAATCAAGTCTATTCCTTAAAGGGTTCTTGCGAGCTCTGGAATTCTATGACGGCATCTTATTCCTCACAACCAACAGAGTTGGGTCATTCGACGACGCTTTCATCTCTCGCATACACGTGCAACTCTACTACCCAGACTTCACCGACGACGAGCGGCAACGGGTGTGGAAAACGTTTATCGACAAGCTTGGTCGCGAGAGGGGAGATACCATGCGCATGACAATTGACGCCAAAGAGTATATTGCATCAACTAGGAAGCATGGTATGAAATGGAATGGAAGAGAAATTAGAAACGGTTGGTGTTTATATTCTCTGATTTTATTCTGTAATGAGGCAGTGGTCCCCACGAGTACTGACTGCTCTATAGCTTTTCAAACAGCCGTTGCGCTTGCTGAGTACGACGACGAGAAAGATAGCGAGGGAAGGATAATGATGACAGATAATCACCTACGAGCTGTGGTTGAGCTGTCCAAAGATTTCAAGGGATACCTGAACGACCTCCATCGAAGGGACGAGGAAAAGAGAGCCGAAGATCGATACGAGAGACTGGCTACCTACGAAGCAGGCACATAGGAGATTATCTTCTTTGCGAAAATCGATTTCATCTTTGCGACTGGTCGCGCATTAGATCCGCATGGAATCCCTAAAGAGCAGCTGTTCTCTACTTACCGACAGTTTCACTATGACACCGGACGCCGAGAGAAATAATATATCAGGCGCTGTTTGTATGTAATACGTCGTATGTCATTGAGACGGTGGGTGTAGTTCATTGATAATTTGAATCTTATAGTGTCTTGCGCTATGAAGTCTAGTCAGACATTTACCTGAAAAAATCCGTTTTGAATCGCAGAGTTTCTCCTTTACCCATTCCTTTACTCTCATCTGCCGGCCGCTCGGTGATGCTAACCTCATAAATGGGCTCAGTGCGTCGGTCTCGTGCTATTCTGATAGTATCTGCTCATTACGAACATAGAAAACTTGATATTGACTGTCATTTATGCTGTTGCCTGATTATATCCCAGTCGTGCCGCTGGGGTTATCAGCCTAGTCACTTATCGGTATCTTTCTTCCCTAACCAAGTCTAGAGCATCAAGCTCCTCATCTAGGCGACCGCACCAGAATGAACCTTGCTTGTAGGATGCAGGGATTGCCGACTCTCATACGCTGATCTCATGCGATTGTGTTGCCAAGCCTAATCGAGTGATCCTTCAGCAAACACCTTCCTGGATAAGACAAGTTTTGCACAATACCAAGCCCTCAGGTAAGCCCGGCTCATTATGTACAAATTATAAAAGGCCGACTATTTCTATATGCTACACTTTCTCTTTTTCATTCTAAAAGTCCTTGGGATTATAATACTTAAGCTGGTAAGTGACATAAACGTGCAGTGCCTTAAGGAAGCAAAAGATTTACAAGTCAGAAGACAGGCCAACTATTAACTACAACGCTAAACTTAACTACTATTGGTCACAGCGCCCCAACACATTCACCCTTGTAGGTAAACATATATTCTGTCTTATCATCAGAACTAACTTCCAGTCAAGCGCCAAAATGGTCAAGATCAGCTTTTCCCTAATTGTAGCCATGGCATCGATCACTTTTGCGACCGCTAATGCAGTCCAGGGTCGTCAGGCTGCAGGCTGTCAACCGCAGGACACAGTGTGTCGCCAGGGCTGGGCTTGGTGCTGCAGTGGTTCTTCATGCTATGAGTTCGCGCCCCCCACTGCCTGCTGAGCGAAACAGCATGGTTGTGCATGGCTCCCAGTCTCTGAAAGCTTTCCCCGAAGCAAAGTGAGCATCAATGAACGGTCATTTTCAACACAAAATCATGCAACCTGTGGTTAAACCGATGCATGAGAAGTTGGAAGGATGGAGACAAACGAATGTTACATGTATGGTCACAGCACATTGGGCATCAGAAAGGTGGCCTTTGGGGAGCAGTGAAGGATTTCAATGTCTTGCCAACTACCACACTACACCTGACTATATACACTGCATGTTCTACCGCAGTCTTACGAGTTCATGTTTTCAGCACTTTGCTTTTCCAATGGATCAGGGTTTGATATGCCAGAGCAGCCAAAGTTTCTTGGTTACATGTTTGATTTTAGAGCATCATAAGCCTTTACAAGAAATTGACCTTACTCCGCCATCTCCTTGATACATTATTATTTATCTACCTTATCATACCACGCAAGTTGATGCGGATTTTCGGGGCAACATCCGTGCACATCATCATCCACCTTGTTGATTTTCCAAGGGGTTTCCAGGTATGTGTGCTGACTCGCAGTCAGCGTCTTGCACGAAAGGGGGAACTGCATTTTTGTACATGGGCGGCTTTATTGGAGGGCTTTTGAAGCACCTCGTCTCCACGTCCCTTATCAATACCACATACACTCGATTCTCTTGACTGCGACGCTGTGCATAACGGCTTTCCCCATGGTGTCAGCATTCAATGACGTAGTATTGTTTAAATAGAATATATTGCCGAAACAGGCCTTATAATACCGGTACCGAAAGTTGTGGGGACTTGACTGGTGTGGCGTGTGGGCGTGTGGTTTCCGGTACCATGGCCTGGCCAATCGCTCGGTGCAATACCTAGTAATTGCACCAAGGGCCTGATCGGCACCGCCGATATCATTTGACACTTCGAATAAGGACCGATATCACGGACCAAGCACCAGCCACAAGTACTGAAAAACTCAAATCGTGCCGCACTAGTCCAAAGACAGGAGGGTACATCATAATTTCAGTTCTACATTACAGAACTCTAAAGATATTAGAATAGGCTACGTACTGTGACCTTTTTTATGTTAATTCTGCTAAATTCCCTAACTTCCCTATATAAATTAATATTAGGCTCTAGACTTACTTAGGTTGAGTGTTGGAAGTAGACCAATAAGGCAGGTACTACTGTTGCCTACTGCTGCTAGCGCGCCTGCCCACTGTTACCAGCGCTGGCAGTAGTAGTGCTGATGGGACACAGCTGGCGACAGCTGTCGCAGGGGTCCTGGCAGTACATTTGTTAAATTGACCTTTGACCTTGCATTGAACTCTTGTTAACCCTAACCCTATGTACTTTTATATCGGAGTACAGGCGATATCGCCCTGATATCGGGATTGCCGATCAGGCCCCAAGTACAGATAGACGTACAGTAGGGTGCCACAAGTCTCCTGACACCTCATAGTGTGCAACCTTAGCTTCACTATAAAGAATACGCTATATCTTAATATATAAGGTATAAAAGTAGACTATAAAAGCTATATATAGTTACTTGGGTATATAGATTATATTATACTATTTTCAAAAGTATACTACTCATATAATAATAAATATATTAAGTCTAGAAATAAATAGGTTTTAGGAAGTATTCTTTCTTTATTTTAAGATATCTAGTTAGCTTAGTATTACTTATTATAAAGTTATGCTTTAGGTGTATCCGTATACTGTGTATATGTCAAGAGACTTGCAGCACCTCATTGTAACGTGGAGACAACCTACATATTACACTACATTGATGGGGGATGGAAGGAAGTTCACCCAGCCAAAAAGCAAGCTTTGAGTCACAATATCAACCATTCAGGCTCCCAAGAAAACCATTCGTTCCGAGACGTTTACGATACCAGGTACTGGGGCCTGTGACTTTTTTGAATTTGCTCCTTAATTGGCAACGGGTTGCGATTGATGACTGATGATGATTGTAACCTTGATCAGGTCCAAGGCTTATTGTGTGAGTGGGCGGGCGGGCGCAGGTGTGTGGGTTCATTTACATTTGCTTCTCCGGCGTCTGTCGCGTGCGCCATCTTATCGCCTGGTTGTAACTCACAAGAATCACAAAACTGCCGAGATATGTTTCCTTTGCAATTGTCAAGTACCACTATGTATCTACAGGTCTGTAGTAAGCATACACTGGCCCGCTGAGCTCGGCCACCCGGCCGGCCCACTTCCGTGAAGATCAAGAATGGCAGAATTCGACCAGACAGGCAGGTAGGTCATTGTTCTCTTTTGTCGATCCAAATAAAGTAGGTTCTCCAGGGACTTGAATTTCGCATGGCAGTTGGCTGACGAAGAGGATTGAGACGGAACGAGTGGGTTACAAATTTACAAACTGTGTCACATCGGCCGAGAAACCATGTTCCTTCAACATCAGTAGCTGCGTGCATGTTGACCTACTCGAAACAGTGGCCCCAATCTGGAGTCAAACGAACCATCCCCTGGGCATCGCGATAAGCCTGCACATTCACTCTGCCCACTCCAAAAAACCCAGCGCGGGTTCAAGTACATGTTCGGAGGCAGGGAGGGGAGACAAAAGAAACACTTGACTGCAGGGCTGTTTCGCTGCAACCCCTCCCTTTGGAGTAGCGAGTCAGTGTCGGCGATCCCATTCCCAGCTCCCCTGCGTCAACCGTCCGATGATCCGAATATCACATACGCATTGGCTCCACTCCAAGACAACCAAGGTTTGATCATTGACTGAAAAAGTCTAATCTCACAATGAGCTGATCCGCCGCAGCGCCGCGCGCCCTTCTTAAGTCCCGCAGACCCCTCGAGCACCGTCTTGTAAACTGCTTTGCTCCTTGTGTTCGTGACATCAGGCCTTCAGTTCTATCATCCCGCAATCTTTGAGTTGACCTCGAACAAGCACAGCGCTTATCATAACCCCACGACGGAGAGACCATCTACACATATTACCAATTTGTTTCATACGCAAAATGAAGGCAACAATCGCCTACGTCATTGCCGCGACCCTCTTCGGAGCTACGCAAGCAGCAGTCACTCCCGTGAACAACATCATTCGCCACGAGTACAACATGAACGCGAGAGCCGGTGTTCATGGCAACATCGAGCGAGACGAGGTCATCTACAACCCCGCAACCGACGTCCTGCAGCCTGTGGCTTAACGGGTTAACCTACATCAACGCCAACCTCGACGTTTAGCAACCTGCAACTGACTACGGGCAAGTCGACCGTCGGTCACACGCGGCTTCGAGTCGGACCTTGAGGCATCTGGCATCATTCGGTTGCGCCATTATACTATTCAACTTCGATTATGCCATGCTTTGAGACATGCAACCTAGGGAATAGCGATTAGGAGTTTGGGGGAGATGGAGATGGCAGTATGGCGTTTTTGGATCAGGGTTTGATTCATTCGGGGAACAACGGGAAAGAGGGACGGCATGGTGGAGAGACCCGGGACTCTGAGCAGACCGTGGTTCACGTCGCGAACAAGCCAGTCATTTGGCACAGTAACGTAAAACTACAGAAGCTTCCAACACTTGTTCATGTCGAATACCATTTCGTTTCATGTATATGCCCAGCGCGAAGCACTCCATTTAGATTGATGATTTATTCGGTTCCTCACAATTAGCCAGGGGGTTATGCTACCCTACCTCTCGTACTCCCAAAGGTAATTCCAGACCTTGTTGCCATCAACAATGAGATCGTATTCCACGCTCAAATGATTAGGCGTTGCAGTATCGAAAGAGATTTTTCCAAACTTCGAATTTCCCCATGGATGAGAATAGACAGAGACGTCTGTATCCTCGATCTGCCTGTGAAACCTGTCGAATGGCTCAAAGAACTGATTCAAGGGAGATGTGGAAAATTCGATGACTGACTTTCCGGCCTTGCCATTGGGCGGAAAGATTGTTGTCGCATGTTCATGGCGGTCCTAAAAAGAAAACTTGTTTAGTAGCTGCCAATATAGTAATATCTCATCAATTTCAATAAATTAGAGACACTGACCCCGCTAAGGATAATAACTCCGTCCGTCTGTCTCATCATATCCAAGGCAACGTCTCGTTCCCACAGGTATCCAGACCAGCTGTCGGCCGCATCTGGACCCCTCCAGTTCCGGGTAAAGGGCACACTGCTCACGACTACCTTCCAAGACTTCTCAGTCTCAAGCCACTTTTGTAGGTCGGCAAGCTGGGCGCTGCCAAGCATAGTCTTTTTGGGGCCGTCTTCCAAGGATTCGGAAGACCGATAGCGTCGCGTGTCCAGGACGAAAAATGAAATGTCCCCTCGGCGAAATGTGTAGTATGTAGCTCCCGCACCATATTGGGAAGGAGGGTTGGCATGTCCGTGGTAAGCCCAAAATGGTTTCATTGCAGACTGGTACAGGCCCGTCTCGTTTGCAGCCCAATCGTTGATGATTTCGTGGTCGTCATAGACGTGCAGCCATGGCAAAGAACGCAGTGCCGGTGACCAGCTTGGTGAGGCATATACTTGCCGGTATGCATTGATGTAATGCTTAGGCGTCCAACCAAGAGCTACCGGCAGGTCGATGTAGATAAAGTCACCGAGGAAAAGCATCATGTCGACTGGGTTTGCCGAGAGGTACTGATCAAGATGCTCTAAGCCCCTGATCTGCAGACCATGGCTCAGAGGGTTGTATGGATAAAACGGCTTGATGCAGCTAGTTGAGATGAGACTCCAACGCTTTGGTGATGCTTCCGCGGTTTTGAAAGTGCCTGAGTGGCTGGCGTTGGTGGTGTAGGTATACTGCGTGCCTGGATCCAGGCCATCAAGCAGAAATGTTCCCACATAGTCGCTTGAGGCATCGAGAGGGATTATCTGCGATTTCGCCTGGGCTTTCTGAGATCCAAAAGGGTTCCATGAGATCTCAACGTAAGTGGTAGAAGAGCTGCTGTGGCGTGCGACGATCCTTGCCGTGGTTTCATCGACATATCCGACTCGGGAGAACGACAGATCGTTGCTTTGATGAAGCAAATGTCCTCTGTAGAGGAAATCCCACACCGAGACTAGTGACAGGAAGTTTAGAAGAACGGCAATGAAGCTTGCAATCGGCGAAGCTCGTTCAGTCCAACCAAAAAGTAGCAGTATCAAAGCGTGACGGCGCCTCTTCGACGACACAGTGGACTTTGGTGGCAGAATAGCTTTGACAAAGAGGCAGGATAAGTATAACGCTGCACTTCCGTAGATACGGTCCAAATACCGCCTTCCAAGAGGATGCTAATGAAAGGTCAGGAAACAATCAAAATCTCACCGATTACAAGGCTTACAAATCTGGTAAACAGTATGGCTATGGCCCTTAGAGTTAGAGTTGCAACCGCCAAAATGGCATCCAGGATGCCATGAAGCGCCATGTTGAAAGACGTTGTGACACGGCATTAGGAAAGAAAATGGTTGGTACCCGAGGCAATGCTATAACGGCTTGATTTCTGAATTGTTGCTCCACTCCGAGAGTCGGACAGACACGGCTACTTGTGCCGGGTGGATTTGAGGCTCAAAAACAACATAACATATTCGAAAACCCCCAATGGTTCGGGCACGTGCAAACTCTCCAAGACTTCTGGTCGTCGTTTAGAGTGATTTTTTTTTCCTTTTTCTTTCTTGTGTCCCCCCCCCCCCCCCCCCCCCATGTCAGCTCCACAGACGTTACATAGGCAGTGAAAACTTCGGCCCCAACTCCGACGATGAGGGATGCGAGGAGAATCAACCGCGATGCAGACCCAGTGGTTCAGGTTTACTGTTCAAAACTAAAAGTGGGTTCTGGGACGGGGACCCCACCCCGATCGACGTCTGACATGACCGTATTCCGCCACGTGGGCGATCGATTGATAACGGTCCCCTTCCGAAGGCGGAGATCCACGGGGAACCAAGCGAGATGTGCCGAAGCCCGGGCCCCAAGGGTAGATAATGGTTTATCCTCGCTGGACTCCGACGGATATGTCAACGCAGGAAAGCTTCCATGAACTATAACGCGATGCTCCGGGATTCTTCACCGGCTGTGCCCGTACTTCGGTCATGTTCCGTGAGCATCGAGCTAGAACTCTACCCGTTGATGATGACCATGCTTACGAGCACGTGTCTCAATTGTCAAATGTAATGGTCGAGATGCGTGCCAACTCTCCTACGGTTCCATGCAGTTTACCCCAACATGAGTGGAAATGACTGCCGGTAATGGCAAAATATGGCGGAGAATGATAAGGGCCCACTTCCATCGCTATTGCATGCGTCCCGTGGACATGGTAAACTACATATCTCCACGTGTTGGCTGGAGACAACTGCGCGGTCCATGCCAATCAGCAACCTTGCAGATATTACTTGCTAGTCCCGCAAGGAGCCGATGCACCCTAATCATATAACCTGCTCAAGAGCTGCCCATTTTCTGCTATGGTCTTGGACTCGTCGTACTACAAAGCGTCACCATGGAGTCCATTCCTCGAGTAGAGCCAGTTTCCAATACTGCCAACGACACAGTTAAGAATGATGTCGAGGTTTTGTCTGCTGAGCGAGATGACGTTTCATCTCAGGAGCCAGGATCTCCGGCAAGAACTGCGAGAAAGCTTGATGTCCTCATTCAGGGCGTCGCTTTGTTTTCGGACGGTTACAACATCCAGATCATCGGGTACATGAACACTGTTCTGACGAAGCTGTAAGTCCAGCACAATGCTTCCGAATCGCTCATGAAAAGAATGTAGCTAAAGTCCTTTCTAGTTACCCAAAACAAATGACCAACGATGTGAAGACTCGACTCTCCAACTCAATCTTGATTGGTGATATCTTTGGTATGCTGCTTTTCGGGCTCTGCATCGACAAATTCGGCCGCAGAGTGGGCATCATCCTGACTACCCTGTTTCTCGTCTTGGTCAGTATTGAAAGTCCGTGGCCAACATCAAAATCCAAACTTGCTAACATAGAATCAGGGTATTGTGATTGCGACTGCAGCGAAAGGAGTCACCGTTGAAGGCATGTTTTGGATGATGGTCATTGGTCGCGGTATTGCTGGTGTTGGTGCTGGTAGGTGGACGACAAAATCCTACCCTCAGGTGAAGGTTTCTCGAAGCTAACTATTCACAAGGCGGTGAATACACCGTTTGTACTTCTCAAGCTTTAGAATGCGCCGACAGTACCGAAGAAATGAGAAGGCGGCGCGGTATGCTGGTTGCCGTTTCTACCAATGCCGCTATTATTTCCGGATTTGTTGGATCTAGCATCGTCTCCTTGATTGTCATTGCGGCGTATAACGGTGAGCCCCATGATGGAATCTGGCGCATCTGCTTTGGAATCGGCATCTTTGTGAGTTCAACGTTGCAATGGTTTCCAACCAGGCACTAACACTCCGAAAGTTGCCCTTGGCAATCTTCTTCTTCCGGATGAGACTTGTCGACTCGCAGCAATATCGGAAGCATGCCATCCAAAAGAACGTACCCTACTGGCTGGCAATAAAGTTTTACTGGAAACCGCTCCTTGGCTGCTGTAGCGCGTGGTTCCTCTATGATGCCGTCGTCTACCCTTTCAACCTGCTTGCACCTACGCTTGTATCCGGCTTCTCTTCTAAGCAGACCATGATCGAGTCTGTCGGGTGGTCAGCTCTGATCAACGCATTCGCTCTTCCGGGCGCTTACATCGGTGCCCTCTTAATGGACCGTATTGGACGCCGCCAGACTTACGCACTTGGGTGGAGCATCGTTTGTGTCTTCGGGTTCGCCATCGGTGGCAGCATGATCCAGCTCAACAACGTCTTCCCCCTTTTCGTTACTCTGTATGGCCTGTTCCAGACTTTCCTGTCTGCCGGACCAGGTGATTGCAACTTTCTGGTGTCAAGCGAATCTTTCCCTACGCCGCTCAGAGGACACTTCCTCGGCTTCGCGGCAGCCATTGGCAAGGTCGGTGCCGCGGTCGGCACAACGGCGCTCAGCGCGGCGCTGGCGAGCTTTGACGACAAGCTGAAAGGGCAGCAGGCAATCTTCCTTATCGGCAGCGGCATATCTGTAGTTGGCACCGTTTGTGTTTGGTTCCTAATTCCTAACGTAAGTTCTCCTCCATGAATACAAAGGAGCTTTCTGGCTAATGGTTTATACAGGCCCCCAAGAATCTGGAAGATGAGGACGTGCGATTCAAGAAGTACCTCGAAGCAAATGGATACGACACAAGCCAAATGGGGCTGAAAGCCTGAGACTTTCTCCTTGCCGAACAACATGTTGCCAGACTCTTGGTAGAAATCCCCTACATCAGACTGGCAACCAGGGGGGTGCGTCTTGGTGATACAACGAGCCCCTAATTCAAAAACTGTTTATTGTATAAATTATGTACTTTGATTAAGAATACACTATCCCTCGGACTCCGACCATCTACCTCTCTATGATGCACCACCAATTTGCCTTCTCCACAAGTCTTCATAAATCCCTCTCTTTGTCAGCAATTCATTATGAGTGCCGCTCTCGGCTACCCTTCCCTCGTGAATCACTACTATCTTGTTTGCATTAACGACTGTTGATAGTCTATGTGCAATGATAAATGTCGTCCGTCCACTTTTCAAGACATCTAAGGCATGTTGAATGCTTGCTTCTGTCTTGGTATCAACTGCGCTCGTGGCCTCATCCAGAATGAGAACCGGAGGGTTCTTTAAAAACACGCGCGCGATGGCTAGTCGCTGGACCTCTCCGCCAGATAGCTTCACTACTTGCTCGCCAACCTTGCTGCCATAGCCATCGGCGAACGTAAGAATCTTCTCATGGATCGCAGCAGCCCGGCAGGCGTCGAAAATCTCCTCTTCTGTCGCCGAAAGACGTGCATAGCGCACGTTTTCCATCACAGAAGCGTTGAAAAGCAACGGGTCTTGAGGGACAACGCCAAGAACCTCCCGAAGAGAATTCAGAGTGATGTCACGGAGATCGTGGCCATCGATCGTTATCCTTCCCGATGTGACGTCGTAGAAGCGCAAAAGAAGTTTCATAATCGTCGACTTCCCTGCGCCAGTCTCTTCAACCGAGGCAATAGTTTCTCCCGGGGCGGCAGAAATGTTTAGGTTGTGGATCGTTGGTCGCCTTGGGTCGTACGAAAAACCAACATCCTCGAAAGTAACATGGCCTTTTGTACCACCCAGGACCGTGGCGTTCTCTATCTTAACAATGGTCGACTTGGTCTGTAACAACTCGAGGAGGCGCTCCGCGTCGACCAGGTTCCTCATCAAAAACCGATAATAGTTGGAGACAGACTTGAGAGGATAAACAAAAAGACTCCAATATGACAACAGCAATACAAAATCGCCAGTCGAGGCTCTCTCCTGAGAGATTTCATAGAGCACTAGACTTGCCAAGACGAAGAAGGCTATAGGAAACGTCGTTTCAATGAATGCTTGTATAAAAGCGTTCCAAACTTCGTACTTACGGCTTGCGGCTAGGTGCGTGCTCACAGCTTGGCTGAACCGACGTTTCTCGAAGCCGAACATATTGAAGTACGAGACAGTCTGCCATCCTTGGATAGCCTGGTACATAGTTCGTGCCTGTTCTCTTTCAGTCTGACTAGATGCACGGCGGTTCGCAATGTTGAAGTTTGAAGTGAAAACCTCTAGCGTGACAAATGCCACGGATGTTGTTAGCATGGCCAAAGAGACGTATGCGTTGAACTTCCAGTAGAGGACCCCAAGTGCTATGACCATGTCTATTGTCGTGGGGAAAAAGTTCACGACTCCAACTTCCAGTAAGACTCTGAGTGATTCACCCTGATAGATGGCCTTCATAATCTCAGCCGAGTCTCTCTCGGCGTGGAATTCCATTAGGACGCTCATGACATGGTTGAAAACCGCGTTAGTGAGTTGGCGGTAGGAAAACTGCTCGATCGTAATCCTGGCTAGTCCCTCGACGAAACCCAAGCCGGATTGACCGTTGAGCAAGCTGAAGAGCAGCCATATAGCCAAAGATCCGTAAGGGTTTTGTTTGGTCGTAGTCAAGTCGGTGATAATGCCAAGTTGGCGTGGTATCAGGATGTTCATCGCTCTTCTGCCAGCAACGCTAAGGAGACAGAGCAAGACGGACAACTGAACCTTTCGGTCATTTTTTGTGACGAAGAATGGAATAAATACGGCGAATTGTTTGAGATAAACCCACCGACCCCCTTTCTCATAAAGTTTCTGGGCCCGATGGCGCTTCATGCGAGCGCCTTCATCGTTGTTTTTGGAGTCTCCGCTGGCGACCTCTGTAGAGGATTCGTCGTGGAACCCATCGGTTCCGTAATTGGCTTGCCTCGCTTCGTCCCGGGATTGTTCTGAAAGGAATGGTTGGCTTTCTTCAGAAGATCCATCGTCATGGGCGAATGATCTTCGTCGAGTGGTAGCAAGCGGAAGTAGCAAAACAACTATGATGCGGATCGATTGGCAAGATATTGAAATAATAGGTGACGGCGTGCCAGGTCTTTCGAGAGCCCCCAAGACCAGCAACGGCACCTCAAATAACAAGGATATGCCGTAAGTAACCCAGAGTAGTTGTTGTTCTAGGTCTCGACCAAACAGGACTGAGGACCACCCAAGTGCGGAGAGTAGAAGATGAACGAGACGAGCTTGTTGGTTGCCAAAAGCATCTGATTGAATGACGCTAATAACGGTCTCCACCAAATATGTGCATATGAGAAGGAAAAATGACGATATGACTGGCGTTGTGTAACGGCGTATTGCTAGCCGTGCCAATGTGCCTGTACCATGTCCCGAACGGATTAACGCCGTGATGGAGACTCCAAGAAGGACACTTAGGGCACATCCATAGTGCAGCGCTTGGCTAATCGTGAAGAGTGTTGCCATGGAGAAGGGAATATTTTTATCAAGTATCGTAGACAGAGTAAACATTCAAAAGATTTCTAGAGGGAATCGTGGTCACAAATAACACACCATCGGGAGGTCAACGACGTGGCATGTCAAATTTGGTACCGAATCAGTGCTGATGATTTTCCCCTACAATTGGAGAGCTGCCTGGAGTTGGCTACAAGAAAGAAGTGCCTGCTCTGCTTACTCTTTGCTTACTTTCTGCCTGCTTTCACTTTCATTACGCGTAGGGGTTTGACACCCACACACTTGCACATCAGGTTTACCCCTTGGTCTGTGTTTCAAGATGATGACCATTACGCCAGCATCGTTGCGAACGCGGACCTCAACCCGCTGCTCGCTGCCTACTTTCTGCCTGCTCTCTGCCTGCTCTATGCTTATCGCTCGCTATGCACCTCATCTTACCCCCAACACAAATCTGACCGTAGCCCTGGCAGCCTGGGTATCTACCTAACTAAGCTAAATTAGGAAGCTACCAAGCCTAAATATGGAGGTAGGCCGAGGTAGTGGCTACCTACTCCCTCACTCACGGCGACCGTTCGATACCACAGCGGCTAGGTACATTAATAACGGATTGCGCTCTCGAACATTATACGTCAGGAATGTTAGGGCGGTAGATTGGCTGCCATATGGGCTAAGAAAGTTCCACTGGACCTCTCTTATTCGAACTGACCTTTGACAGCTCTTCAATTTTCTAGAGGCTTTGCTGAATGATCCAAATGATCATATACCCCCCATAGTAGTTGGCCGTCCTAGTTATAATGTGTCATTGCGAGACTCTAATGACTTTCGTCGACACTGGTAGTTTAGCAGGCCTGCTGTGAGAACAACGAGTGACCTAAATTACTCTTGTTTGCTTTGTTGTATTAATCACAACCGCCAAGAGGCGGGAACAGATCCAGGTCGGAACAGCAATCCACCTTGCAAAACACTCTTTCTCCATTACGTGAACAGTCCGATTTGGCCATTTTTCTGCCTTGATCTCGTTACTTGCTACCCAAACTGAGAGAAACCATCTTCTGCACAGGGGCAGAGAACAGAGCTGCTTCTTTAGGGTTATCCTGCCCAGCCAGCCCTTTAACTTTGGCTTGCCTCTCCATCCAATCTTTCGCTCCATTATACATGCAGTTGTAGTCCATGAACTCGGCTGGATTCCTGTTTTGAATTAGTTAGAGTTATTTGAGTCAAGTTAGGCGATGTACGGACATTGTAATGCTGTTGGTTGCTTTGTCGGTTGCCGGCTTTCCCGCCTGTCTGCTATATCCTTGAATGAGGGACACTCTCTCGAACCTGCACTCAAACACAGCCTACTTGCAATTAGTCAAACATAAAGTATTCCAAATAACGCTTACGCACCTTCAATCGACTCTCGACCTCTGCTGTTGTGGGCTTGTCTTCGATATCTCCAAAGATTGCCCCAAGAGCCTCAGCGTCTTCGATGGCCTGGCTTGCACCTTGTCCCTGAGTAGGGAGCATTGGATGGGCAGCATCTCCGATAATGATGGTGCGACCCCGATGCCAGGTTTCCAATGGATCCTGTGAGGCTAACATTAGCATTGTCTATTCCGTGCCTTCCTTGCAAAAATATCATTTGTGAGCTTTACCATGTCGCGCAGCTGCCAAAGGCCCACTTCGGTGCATTTCTTGAACACTGCTTTTGCCCAGGTAGGAAACACCTCAAACGACTCTCTCATCTTCTGTGGATCACCCTTCGTAGTCCATGACTTTCCCTCGGCGGTCTCGTGCATCTTGTCTTGATGTATGTTAGATGTAACTGCAACAACTTGTACCAAACCGGTCGAACTTACCATCTGGAACCAATGCAACGACGCTATAGATGGACCCGGCTCGGGCAGGTCCCATTATTATGCGACGGTCATGGCCCATGACCATGGTTGTGAGAGACTCTCGAGGGTCTATAATAGAAGTAAAGTCTTTGTCTTGCTCCAGTTCTGAGCTATCGATGACCAGTCGATATGCTTTCCACATGTGTTAGATAGGTTCAAATAAAGAATCAATAACTTACCAGACAGCCCTGTTGGTACTGCAGCAGCATCTTTCCCTAGGACTGATTTTCGGAGCACACTTTTACTGCGAGATTGTCAGCAAGGTCTCAAGAGCGTCTCGGAGGGAAGTAACTAACATGCCATCAGCCCCGACGACAAGGTCTCCAGTGAAGACCTCTCCTGATTCGAGAGTAACAGTTCCGGCCTCTGGGTCGCACTCTTGTACCACACATCCGGTCCGAATGACAACTGGCTCGGTATCCGCAACCTCTTTTGTGGCTGCTCCCTTCAGAGCATCGTGAAGATCAACCCTTTCTGGTCAGTGACACTGCCATAAGATCATTGTTTTTGATAAATCCTCACCTGTGATACATCATGCGGTCCTGGGATGTGCGTTAGGATATACGTAATCGACCCAGCGGAACTTGAGATTATGCACTTACCGCGCCGTAACTCTTCTTTAGGTGGAATGGAATATCTGCGCGCAGCTTTCCTTCAACACTATAGATGCGAAACTACAACAATCATTCTTAGTTGATGCAGCAAGCCGAATCGCTGTCGCAAGCTCACCCCTTGATCCGCCATGGACCCCTTTTTCGCGAGGGTTTCCTCCAGGCCCCATTGTTTCTCGACAATTCTGCGTGTATCAGCCAAAATAAGCAATGTAGAACATGTTCATCCTGTGAGTTGAACTAACTTTGAAGCATTTGGTTGAAGCCTGAGCCTATATGTGAGTCACACTCGAATCTTGCATCGAGGACGGGAACTAGAGACTCACGATATTGTCGCACCGATTTCTCTGTTTAGCTGACTCTGTTCAAGGACAGTGATGCGCCGTCTGGGTCCTCTCAAAGCAATAGCCTCGGTTTGTAAGTAAAACCCATGAAAAGGTTTATTGGACGAGCTACTACTTACTGCCGAGACCCCGGCGATACCGCCACCCACAACGATGATGTTGAACATTCTTCACGACTGCCTGACGAAAACTTGATGACAAAGATAAGAATAAGTGGCAAGGTACAAGATTCTCCTCATTTGACCCGGCAAATTTCCAGATCAAATGATGCGGGATGGGTGTCTGATCAACAATATGAAGCACGGCGCTAAGGAATGAACGATACCCAGTTCCACCATCAATCCCGGCCAGATTCACGGACATGTTTCTCAATTTTGTGAGTTGGTCCACTTCTCGGCCCTTTCCCGCGGGTTAAATGCTGGCGAGAAAAGGTGATATGATTTTCGTGTTAGTTTGAGCCGAACCGAACCGAGGAGTAAGCACCGGGCACCAACGGCATGATTCGGACTGGAAACTAGATCCGGAACGGTTCCTGAGTCCCCAGACTTGAGAGAAGTGGCTAATGGCAGGTGGTCAATCTAGTGACAATAGATATTCGCAGAACAAATTCAAATATGACCACGGGATGCAATCCACGATCAAACCAAATCAGTATCATTAACAACTTGGTTTCGATTCAGAAGAAACTCCTTTCAGTCCACATACCTTGCAATGGCCACCACCACTACTGTGATGGAGCATACGAGTGCTCCCATCAGAGCCGTCAATGATGGCCGAATGAAGATGGATGGCAACGATCCGGCCTACGGCGACTGGAGGGACGACCTTTTGCGAGATGGCTATGCTGTCATCAAGGGTGCCATCCCAAGAGAGCGCGCAGACGCCTACGCAGACAAGATGTACGCCCTGCTTGAATCATTGTAAGCTCTAATCCAACACCTGCGTCTTTAAGACCTTGGACTGACTCTATCACTGCAGTGGTCTTGGCTATGACCGCAACGACCCTTCAACTGTTCATCCGGACAAGCTCCCTGTAATTAACGAGAAGGGCATGCTGATGGCCTACGGTGCTTGCCACGAAGATTTCGTTTGGGACATTCGCAGTGAGCCCAAGGTCGTAGGAGCTTTTGAGAAGGTCTATGACACCGAGGACCTGCTCGTTTCCTTCGATGTCATTAACTATGGCTTTGCCAACCGCACCCATCTCCCCGAGAACAAGCCTTGGCCCCATCAAGACCAGGACCCTGAGAAGCCTGGCTTCCGCTGTCTCCAAGGCCTCGTCAACCTACACCCCTGTGGCCCGGATGATGGCGGCTTGATCGTCTGCAAAGGATCCCATAACTTGAGCGCCCAGTTCCATGAGGACCTAAAGGACGAGCCCCGAATCCCAGCTTGGACCAAAGAGTGGTATGGCTTCACGGACCGCGGCATGGAATGGCTCAAGGAGCATGGTGGCGAGTGGCACAAGGTCTGCGCCGACCCGGGTGATCTCATTGTATGGGATTCGCGCACTGCCCACTACAACGTTCCTGTCAAGGGCAAAATTGACCGCATGGCGGTATACACTTGCTTCATGCCAGTGGAGGATGCCACTCAAGAGGACCTTCTGCGGAAGAAGGCTGCATACGAAGGTGAGTTTCCAAAATGATGACTTTCATATTCTCGGACTTGAGCACTAACAGTTTTCTTACGCAGGCCGACTTGGCACTACCCACTGGCCCAACGCCCGGCACACGGGTTCCAACGTCGCAACTCGCAACGGAAAGCCGGATCATGTTGTTCGGGACTGGCCACTAAATGATAAGGTGCTAAGTGAGAGGGCTTTCAAGTTGACTGGAATTCCATACATCAAGGTGTAGACAGTGGCTTGGCCTACCGAATTTCCTTTTGGTATGCCGATATTGGTTTTGTTGCTCCTAATGTCATATTATCCAAGTCTTGTCTTTAGTACAAAGAATGAATAGTACTGTAAGATGACCAAATAATCTTGTTACTCGGCTTTGTGTCCTCTTCATTCCTATGGATTCCACGCTGTCGGATTCCAGGCTCGCCTACATATCAAGTTTTGCAAGACGTCGACAGATGAACTGGACGTGGAAAAACTGTGGTTTAGGCCTATGAACATCATACAGATCCAGCTAGGAGGATATATCAGGCTTGCAAAGCTTTGCTACAAACTTCGAAGTCTTCATGCACTAGAATGCGGATCACGGCTCCTTCGCATAAACCAGCTGTTTCGCATCCAGTGTCCTGTAAGCGGCCGAGGTGTTGACGCGTCTTGTTGTTCGCAACAATTTTCGGTTCAACGACCGAACCGAGCCTATTTGACTGCGTTCTGGGGCTGAGACTAAGCTGAAGTCTGAGTGTCGCCACATCGTGGGGGAAAGTCATCTTGGCAATGGATCTGGGTCACTACTGCGACAAGACAAGAAACAACACTGCCTGATGTCGTTTCCGAACCGAATCACGGAAGCAATACAACAGTACGGAACGGCTGCCAAACCGAGGACCTAATATCCCGGCGATCGTGAGGGGTTATGACCATGTTATCTCTGGGCATATCCTTGCTTGCGTGGTTTCCCCACATTTGACTGGGTGAGACTGAAATGCCGAATCGCACTAGTTCAGTCCAAGTCGGGGCCCCATCTCTGCACCCCAGACGCTCAATACCCCACGCGGAATCCGGGGTAGAACGTGGGTAATTACTAGTTATCCAAAAGAGATAGGAGAGGTATGAGGAAGTTGATTTCAACCGAACTTGGCGAATGAATACGTGGACATTTGTCAGGGCTGTTGTTTAGCAGAAATAGACTCGGCCTCCCTGGGCATCTTCTCCGCCTTGATGGCAATACCTGACCAGCCTTTCAATCACCCCTTTCTCCTGCGGAGAAGGTTGAGGATCTTTATTCAATAATTTTTCAACCTGAAGTCTGTGTCAAACTAGGCGGCAGGATCGTTCCAACCTCCAACATGGGCGAGATAGACAACAAGATTATCGAAGAGAGAGTTGAGTCAGCATCTGACTTATCTCAAAAGCCTCAACTTGAAGACGGTGACTTCACGACCAACGTCCACCTCTCTGATGGAGATGTCACCTACCTGATCCCGACCCCAAGTTCTGATCCACGCGGTATGAAACTTTATCTGTTATTATTTTTCGTGTTGAAGCATAGTCAACACCAAGCTGACAATTTTGCTATCTACCTAGATCCTCTTAACTTGAGCCCCTGGAGAAAATGGGTGAGCATCCGATTCCGTCCGAAAGAGCACAAAAGTCGATCACGCGTTAACGTCTTTATCATATCTTCAGGTCGTAACGATTACTTGTGGCACATTCGCCTCCATCGGTCTCGTCCAGGTCTCCGGCCTAGGAGCGCTCCTCGGCGACTTCATCCCGGAATACGCTGCTGAAGGAAGGGGATATGAGGACATCAGCCATCTAATGACTTATCCGTCACTTTTCATGGGCCTAGGAAACCTGATAGGTATGCCATTGGCTCTTGCCATCGGACGTCGCCCGGTATTCCTCGGTTCTTGTGCTCTCGCAGTCGTGGGGTCAATCCTATGCGGTGCCCAGAGAGGGTACACGTCTCATCTCGTCGCTCGAATGATTCTCGGCTTGGCAGCCGGCCAGAGCGAGGCTCTCTGCCCCTTGATGGTGCAGGAAACCCACTTTCTGCACGAGCGTGCACGCTGTCTGATGTGGTTCACGGCTTATCAGTCGATTCTCAGTGCGGTCTACTCTCTTCTGACCTCGTACATCGCCGCGGGTATCGGTCCATCCGGTTGGTATTACCTAGGTGCTGGCTTTTCGGCCATTACTTTCATCGTCGCCATTTTTATGGTACCGGAGACCAAGTACGACCGACCTCTCGCCGCCTATCAGGGACACACAGCCCAGGTGTCTCATTTCGTCAGCAGCAGTGGTCCTGGAACCGACGATACAACTGGTATTTATACCGAGATGCTTACGCGCAAGACCACCACGGAGCCCCGTCAGCTGGACTTTGTCAACTTCAAGCCCAGGTCCCTCGCTTCGGACATGCGTCTCTTCACCCAGAAGCCAGACTGGAAGGAGGGATGGCTGTGTATCACAGGCATGGCTATTGTAGTTCTGTTCCCTGACATGATATGGGCGCTTCTTCTCAACGGACTGACAGTGTAAGAAACTCTACTGGCGAAAGCTGGTCCCCTTCCCACAAAGTTTCAGTATACTGTCACTAACGTCTTTGTCCCGACAGCGGTGTTAACATTGCGCTTGGCACAACTTACGGAGGAGTCCTGGAACAAGCCCCCTATAATTGGAGTGCATCAGTCATCAGCCTTGCAACGGCTGGTCAGATTGTAGTCGCCTTCGTGGCTCTTCCGCTCTTGGGCCGCGGCTCGGACTGGATCATCAAAGTCTTTGCGCGCCGTAACGGTGGCGTCCACAAGCCCGAGTACCGGCTCATTCCTCTCATCATCCCCGTCATTGTGGGAACGCTGGCATCGGTCATCTTTGGACAGGCTGCCGAGCATCCCGAAAAATATCACTGGTTTGCCGTCGTGTTCTCTCTCAACGCCTACTACTTTGGTTTCATCGGAGCCAATCAGGTCGGTATCACATACGCTCTCGACGCCTACCCGACACGCTCTGGCCCGGTACTAGTCATCATCTGCGCCATGCGTGGTGTCATTTCTTTCGGAACGAGCTACGGCGTGACACCATTCATTAACTCGGCCGGTTATGACGGCGCTTTCGGTATTTACGGCGCTCTTACGGCTGGAATTGGCGCCATGGGAATTTTTGTCTTCATCTGGGGCGACCAAATCAGAGCCTTGGTCGCAAAGTGGGCTGTTGCGAAGCCTGCCGCCAAGCCTTCTTACAATCATTAGTTAAGGGATTAATCTCATTAGGATGTCTCGTCACGTGAAGGCTGGGTTCAAGCGTGTGAGCGATTATGTTTCGGGATGCAGAAGGCCTCGGGAGGCCCCAATTCTGGCTTTGCATGTAAGAACAAGGGGATATGTGTTGAAGGGGTTTTCTATTACATCTTCTTGAGTGCACATGTCAGAAGGGTGCTTTACGAGAATATTGACCTTTCCCCCCTTTATTATCAGTTTTGTTGAAGATCGGCAATATGAATTCACATTTGTGATTCTATCTACTTTGCCTCTATTGACAGTGTGACTGCCCTATACCCCTTTCGAGCCCTGTATGGTGGCAGCTTGTGTGCTTAAGATGGCATGTGATGCTTGGGCTACTGGAGATACTGCAGTTGACCAATCGCGAAAACGGTATGCTGTTAATAGAAAAGGCAACGGGAATCTTGCCTTACATTCGGTCCAACTAACTTACTATTCCTGCTTGAGGCGTATGTCTATTGAACACTATGGTATTTGCAAGTTGTGATGACAGAAGTGGATTCACAGTTGTCACTGCGACAACTACACTTGAATCGTCAAGACACAAGTTGCGTTAGGTTGAACTTGTGACAAACCACAGTAGGTCCATAGTTCACAACACTACCTATAAATGCTCATTTGCGTGCCGTTGAAGTGAAAACCTTGACCTCCTCAAGGACTTCGTCTTCAAGAAAGGTGGGCCATTCTCAACTACATTTACTCCTGCCTATCATTGTTCATAACAATCTATGTGTTTTGGCGAGATAGCGCAGTCTTCCTGCTGATATGACGTCCATGGTCTCGCCCTCCGTGTCAAGAGGGGTATTAGTTTGTTGCTTTGGGTACTGTGTAGTATTTTAATGTCTTGTTGGAGAAAGTCGCCATGAGCGTGGCGCTCACAGCCTGCCGATTGGATAGGGGGTATCCGTTTGCGGTGTTGGTGGACCTGAATGCTTTCTGGAGGTGTCTTCCAACTTAAGTAGCATGCTATCGGTAGGCCATAGTTGCTGCTCGTTCTACAATTTGGTTTTAGTCCAATACATATTTGGAAAGAAGATATGGATTGGTGGGTTCGGAGGCACCAGAAGCCCAGGCCAATAGTCCACCTGAGTATGGCCGAGCGCGAGGCGAATCATCTGCGAACTATAGAGAGCATGGAGGCGAGATCCGCGGCACGAATAATCGAGTCAGAGAGGCTCCGCCAAGAAGGAAATAATTGAGACATGCCAGTTTATTCGATCTATGTATCACAGTACTATCTTATTTCTCCTACTTTTCTTTTTGCCTACAGTAATGAGGACATCTGATATCTAGAGTTTCTTGGTCATTATTGCAACCGCTTTGTCATGAGTTTAATTTTTGCCTAAGCTTTTATCACTTCTCGGAAACTTAGTTATTAATCGCCATTTTCATCTTCAACCTTATCCTGTCTTTTGCTTTCACTTTGCCTTAACCTTCGTTACTTTCAAAGGATCTAGTAATACTATGACCCTTTCTTATATTTTGATGTCCACTCTAAGTTTCGGCGTTACTTTGGTACTTTAACCCAATCTCAAAGTACTTACAGGCACCTGGTGGGCAGTATCCGCGACTGCAAGTAAACTTGCAGAGGTCTTCATAATAACCCAGGTCCTCAGTGATGTTGTCAGCTGGACAGCCGTGGCAGCCTGGTATACCGGTGGCTGGCTCTGCAGCCGGCCCAGTGCGTCCGCATGCGCCGACGGGGCAGTGATTATAGTCACAACTGTATGAACACAGGCCTTTTAGGTTATCTGTGATGCCCGGCGCGTTCGAGCCGCCGGTGCAAGCAGGGGCAGGGGCCACAGTGGACGTGCTTGCGCTTGCAGTGGTGCCTGAAGTCATGGTTCCTGGAGGTGTTGAAGTCGAAACGGCAGCGGACATGGATACAGCGGATGTCGAGTTTGAGGCGCAGACTCCAAACGCGTCCTGGCTGTGTGAACGTCAGTTTTACCACATAGCGGACGCCCAATAAAGGCATCGAAGACTCACCACCCCCGCTCGACATAACAGTCGGCCGGCGTTTCGCCGCAGATGCCGTTCACGTTGCAGCATCTACCCCACTCGGCCAAGTACCTCATTCCCTCTGTGCCGCCACAGGTGCCGCCTTTCGTCCACTTTGTGCCGGCCGGCTGGCTGCTTGTCCTGTTTCCAGATGTCACAGCCGCCACTCTGGCAGGTGAAGATGCCGCAGAAGGCGTCAGCCGTGCCACACCGGCCCTCTGTGCTACAGCAGTTTCCCCAGCGGCCGCACGTTCCGTCGGTGCTGTATTAGATATGGTCGCCATCACAGATGCCCTCGTAGCAGATGCCGGGGGTGCAGTCCTCACTGGAGCACGTCATTCCCAGTGTATTAATCGTTTTTGGGCATACCAATCCGTACGCAGAGTCACCACAAGTCCACGTCTCCGAGTTGCAGCACTGCTTGTCAGTGACAACTCAGGTAGCGTTGTTATGACGAGGGCCACAATGCCCGTCAAAGGCCCTAACAGGCTCGATAACTGTAGTGCGTTGGCATGTTAGTTTGGTCTCGGATTCTTCTCATATTCGCCGTAAATTCCCATATCAGACTCGAAAACCATGTCGTACGGAAACTCACATCCTTCGACGCAGTACTCAGTCTGGGGCTGGATGTTGCTGCAGTCCTTGTCTAACTCAGGTTTCAGGAAGAAGACTTGGTCGACGGGCATTAGGTAGCGCCGTGCCAGCCGTGAGCATGTGTAGTAGTCGACTTCCTCGGGCGTGTTCGTCCAAAACCGACAGTTGATCTCGCCCGGGTTGACTACCGGCAAGGGTTCGCCCTCGGTCGGACTTATGTCGACGGGATCGTCGACGGAGGCGATGCGCATGGAAGAAAGGGAGTCCCAAATATACGGCTGGCAAGAATTCGCTGAGATGCGGGGGAGGAAAAGAGAGGAGACGACGGCTAGCCAGAGGCTGGCGCGCGAGGATGTGACACCGAGATGGATTGACTTCATGGTTTCCTCTTGTGCTTCGGAGACCGATGATCGGGGTAAAGATTTAAGGTGGAAGATTGATGTGTTGCCAAGTATCGTAGAAGGCATCTACATACAGAGGCCTGCGTACATGTTACAGTGTGACAACTGGGATGTTTACAGGAGGGAGGGAGTCCTGACCCTATTGATCGTCGAGGGTTCGGCTTCTTACCTAGACGAATATCCGGACCCCCGTTGTAACTAAGAGGGTCTGGCCAGAGCCATTTGACACAATTTCCTTGTTGAGGCGAGCCCGTCCGGTGCGGCCGCTGCGTATTTTCATCTCGTGTCCTGTACGAGCGGCAAGGGCGCTACGGGCCCCTGAGTATCACTGCCGAGAGGCATGCAGAGTTTTCCCACTTTTATCTTGCTGATTGGTGTGCGTCGTTGGCAATAGAGACGCTCTGGGTAAAGCCGTTGTTGGAGTTGGTGATGTTCAGCCGAGAGCACGTACTATGTCGTACCATGGTACCTAGGGATGATAGTGCTGCAAGGTTCCCATGAGATGATCTCCAACCCCATCTCGCCGCAAGTAGCAGGAAGGAAATGGGTTCTAGATAGTGTTAAATTATTATGACCGAATGAATATACACAGGAAATGAAATCAAATAAAAAAACACACTTCTGTCATTGTGGTATCTGCTCGTTTGTTTAGATATATATCTATAGTAGGCCACATAATCTAAATACTTAGACCAACATATAAAAAATTAGTAAAGAGAACGGTTAGGGGGAAGTAGATGTAAATAACTGCGATGTATATCGTACACATTATCTGGTGTTTACAATGCTGGTCAGGTGATGTCTACCCTCAAGATATATCATGATGAGATACTGTCTAAGCCCCCTGAACATCTGTCCGCTCGATGTTCCAGAGTGGTTTCCGCAGAGCTGAAGGAACAAAGAAGAGGTGGCATGATACAGATACTTGACTGTGTTTTCCAAATGCGTTACTATCATTGGTCTTGGCAGCGTAGCTTCGTTGGGCAGTTGATAGCGCCGGACCAACTCCAGGCAGACCCCTCCTTGCGTAAGTGGAGTTCTGATCAGACTCTATTGGGATCAGTTCGCCACTTAAGGCAACCCATGACACTGTCCAAACTAGGCTTCGAGGTGATGACGCTGGTTGACGGCGGTTCCAACGTAAAGAGGGACGGCCTGAACCGCCGAGCCTTTGATGACTTCTGGCCCGTCCTCGCAACGACTGCCGGCTGGCCTGTCGTCATCTACAACGGCCCGGACGGCATGGTGTCAACGGTGAGCCCTAACACACCTTACCCAACGCAGCCTCCATCCATCGAGCCCGGCTCGCCGCCGCCGTAAAAGGGGTCATGGTCAGCGAAACCAATGCGGCCGCGTATAGCTTATGCCGTGGACCCAAACAAGGATCTGGAAGATCGTATCAGGAATTGGCTGTGCCGGCAGCCCGCTGTCATCCCGAGCTACTACGACACGGACTTGATGCATTTCCCCAACAGGGGGGGCAAAAACAACGATGGCCAGATGCCGATAAACGGTGGTCATGGCATTGGCTGGGGCGTCCCTCGAATCTCCAGCAACGGCACCATCATCCTGCCCGGAGAGTTTCCCTATGGCGGATTCAGCGAATTGCTCGAGGATTTTATATGCTATCAACCGCAGGAATCGACGACTACCACAACCGCGACCAGGGCGCAGACGACGCAGCCTTCCAAGCCCACAGTAAAGCCGCCAAAAAGGCCTGACCCTCATCAAAACAAGGCTAAATGCTACAAACGAGGGAAAAAGATGACCAACTTGCGGCTGCAGTACGGCGCTGAGTCGTTCTGCTCCAACCTACGCTCCGAAGCTGGCATCCGGGCCCGTGATGTCGAAGGGAGGACGACTGGAGGGTTCCGGGCGGCTTTAAGAGAGAAACTGTAAAACAATTGCAGGGAGGGGAGCATATCAACTTCAGCTTCGAGGTGCTGGACGGCTGCGAGTGGGTGTTTAATATGGACGAGTGTGAGCACTACTTCAAGACACCTGTCGATAGCTGCAACTGCGACAAGTTAAATGACAAGCAGTGCGGCTATGGGGAGAATAATTGCCTTAAGTGGCGAACTGATCCGAATAGAGGCTGATCAGAATAGCTCATAGCAGCGTGGGGATTCAAGTTCAATCATCTAAATTTCCTGTTTCAGAAAAGTGTAGATAGTTGGCGCTTTTCTGTATCAACAACTAACACCTCTGGGATTCGCTGTACCTGCTCACCTATTAGTCTACAGCTGCTCGCCTTGGTAAAAGTCAAAGTAGAAAAAACTGGGTAAGCAGTTGGGTCAAGGCATCTTAATTAAGTATACTGCCTGGACGCCTTTGGGACGTTATCAATCTATCAGTAAATGAAAGGCAGAATAATGCGACTTGGATGCTTGAGTCCGCAGTGGATGAAATGCTCCCCCTTATTCCTCTCATGCTCGGGACGCTCTGTCGAAAAGGCCTTGTATTCGGCGATGGATGGGAACTGGCCGCCAATCTGCACCTGAACCGATTCGCCGGCTTCGTAGTCAACACCCATCGCCCATATGCCGATCTCCAACTCCACGATTGTACCCGGTGGGATCTTGTTCTCCTCGTCGTGGGGGTGGAAGGGAAACTGCGGGTGCATTGATCGCGAAGGGTCGATCTTGCGGTGAGAGGCCCGCAGCTGGCCAACCGAGCCGAGGTGAAGGTTTGTGCTGCTTTGGTCCTTTTGCGGGATGTCGTGGATGGACTTGACCGGCGCAGCCCAGAAGGGGAAGCAGAGGTGCATCATGGGGTTGCCTTCTTTGTCCAGTTTCCGGATGTTGATGAACACATTCATATCATCATGCGAGGGGCATGACATGTAGAGGATAGCCTTTGGGATACCGATCAATCGCGATGGCTTATCGAAGGTGTAGGTGAATTTGGCAAGCGATTTGCTGTCTTCGGAGTTGTATGACACTTTCGATGAGCTCTCGGGAGCTGCCTCGGTCAGTGCTCCGGAGTTCAGGTAAAACGTTTTGTAATCGGTATTGGGAGGAGGGAAGTCTTCGAATATGATATCGCTCTCAGCTTCTCGGTCACCAAATTTGAGGGAAGTCCACCGCACTTTGGGTGTCTTCTCCCAGTCGTTTTCGATGCCTTTGAGGTACCTGTCAAAGAATTTCTTCACAAGTTAGTAAGCCTGGCGATAATTGGAGTGGATAACGAGGGACTCACTGCCAGGTCCTCGTTGGTTTCCGGCACGCTGTACAAGTCAAACCACTCTTGCCAGGCGCTCCAGCGAACCCATTTCTTGGAACAGCCCAGCTCGATGAAGCCTCTTATGCTACCCATGGTGTGAATGGAGCTAAAGTCTGATCCCGAGATGTAGGCGGGAATGTTGATGGCCTTCATGTTTGCGCGCTTGTCTTCCCACCAGATATTGGACAGGGGGCTGCGACGGTACATTTCCGCAAAGTCTTCCACGCCCGAATTACCCTTGATGATGAGGTTGGTGATCAGGTCGAAGTTGCTCATGGAGAAGATGCCGCCTCTGACGAATTGCTCACGGAACAAATCGCCACTTGCCTCCCACGGCGCAATCGCTTTCAGCGACGGAGGGTTCAAGGCCGCAACGTGCCATTGAGCAATCGCGAGGGCAGAGTTGCCTGCCATGCCGACATTGCCATTGCACCAATCGAACTTGGCGATGGCTTCAATGACGTCGTATGCATCTTCGGCGTCCTGCAGTCCTATGATCGGAACCTGCCCGTCACTGTTGCCGGCACCTCTGCTGTCGACGCTGATGATGGCGTAGCCCTTGGGACACCACCTCTGGGGGTCCAGACCCTCGAACTTCTCCAATCCGCTGAGATCGCTTTTCTTGACACAGCAGGACCACGGTGTCATGGGAAGCATCGTGAGCGCGCTGTACTTCTTACCGTAGGGCGACCATCCCACAATGGCGGGGATCTTTTCATTGCTGTCCGCCGGCCGGTAGACGTCGATATAGAGCCTGCAGCCATCTCGTACTTTGATCTCAACATCATGATCGATGCGGATGTCGCTCTCCAGAGGTTTCGCGTTGTAGCCGTTCCAGCCCTTTGGCAGGACCTCTGTGCGGCCTGGAGTGAACCCCTGGTAGTTATTGACACCGATTTCGGGCTTGCCAATGGGCTTGATTGCGACCTCTATCGGAAGAGGCATGTTGAGACTGGCGGACACGGTTCTTGGAAATGTATGGATATCTGGGATATTCTGGAGAGAGCAAAAGGTAGCTTAGGCATCTAAGGGTCCTCAAGGAAAGTAAACCAGCTGCTTTTTATCAGACGCGTCTGCAGATGCTGGCATGTCCAGACAAGCTCGCCAGAACACGCATTGATGTGACCGTGTCGCCAGGGCCTCGGTCTAAAGCTGCCCGGAGCGGGTGCATTGGATGGATGTTAGCATCAGGGACCAATACGCGGGGTTGAATGGCGGGATAGCTCCTGGAGCAGATCTGAGGTAACATCCGCGACCAGCAGCCCCTCCTTTAACCCAGGGAAGCGGAGAAAAGTAAGGGGTCATAAGAAATGGCCGAACCGAACCGAACCGAATACAGGTTACCCGAAGCCTTCAGCTATGCCGGATTGTATCGAATTCGGCCAGACGACCGACCCGGGCCTAGGAGTCAGCCCGAGGCACCCCGCAACCGAATCTGTGTATGCATAATTGCCAATGTGACTTGCGGGGAAGCTTGGGTCAATGGCTCAGTCTCCCAGGGATAGCTTCAAACCGTAAGGAGCTGTTTGACTATGCAGTGAAGAGGAGCACTCATATAACGCCCGAAACTTCTGCAATTCTTCTGAATTGATCGTTCACAACTCAGTTTGAACCGTCAACAAGTCTCTAGCGTTTATTGAGTCATTGTCATTCAAGCTTCTCACACTTTTTGCGTGCCAAACACTGCCAAAATGGCCAAGGACCTCCTCACACCCAAGACCAACTACGGCGACTGGCGTGATTTCTTCTTTGAGCATGGCTATGTTATCCTGAAGAACGCCATTTCTGCTGAGCGAGCCGAGCACTTCAAGACAAAGCAGATCGAATGGCTCAAGTCGTTCAGCCGGGGATTTGACCCTGATAACGAAGACACATGGACTTCTGAGCACCTCCCCGTGTCCTTCAAGGGCGGCATGTATGGGTCCTACTGCGCCCCGCATGAAAGATTTGCGTGGGAAACAAGAATGTAAGTGGGCATCTGGCCTTGCATCATTGGCTCGGCTGGCTGACCTAGACTAGGGAGCCTGGAGTAATTAACCCATTCATTCAAATTTGGGAGACGGATGAGCTGCTTAGCAGTTTTGATATGTTCAACATTACTCTCCCCCGTCAAAGGGACTTAAAATGGTCACCGTGGCCTCATTGCGGTAAGATCCTTCTGTTGAACCCATGGTGTGAGCCTTTACTGACAACAAGCCTGTAGACCAAGATCCCAAGCGCAAAGGACTACAGTGCGTCCAAGGCCTGGTCAACTTTGCGCCCAACGGCGACAATGACGGCGGTCTCATTGTGATGGATGGCTCAGCCAAGCTCTTCGACCAGTTCTTCCAGGAAACCAGAGTCATGGCGAACCACGAGGACGCCCCACCACCAGAGGAGAACTACCGCGACCTTTTTATCTTCAAGGAGGAGGACGTTGCATGGTTCGAGAAGCGCGGATGCAAGCTTCTCAAGCCAAACCTGGACCCTGGTGACATGGTCCTGTGGGATTCTAGGTATGGACCACCTTCTGCCCTGGCTATACATTGTGAGACTGACACCTTGAAGAACTATGCACTATGCCAAGCACCCCGAGGGCACTCAGATTCGTCACGCCCAATATGTGTGCTTTACCCCAGCAAAGTTCGCGGACCCCCAGAGCCTGAAGGAGAAGGCGGATATCTTCCGGGAGTGGGGGGGCACGACGCACTGGCCGCACACTAACATCCACCCCCAAGGCAAGGCAAAGAGGAATGGAGTGGTTGACCCGCAAGAGCGTGATGAACCTTTGGAGAAGCCTGTGATCACAGACAGGTTGTTGCAGCTGGCGGCTGTTAAGGCGTATTGATAGGTCAACTTGTAATTTGAACATAGGATTTGGTGTTTATGTACTGAAGATATTGAGCAAATAAGAAAGCAGACTAAAAAGACTCCGCAAATCGTACACCTTTCTCCTTGCTGAGTGTTCCATGTGAAGCATCAGGTTTATCCAAGTCTTTACGCTAGTCGGGGAATGGTGGATCATGAGCTTCGCTCCACATTTCGGAAACAATTAGTTGTCAGTCCACAAGCATATATCAACAAGCTACGGAGGTGCGTTTCAAATCACCATGCCAGAAATGCCAAGACCACCCCATGTCAGTTAACAAGGATAATTGCAGGGGTTGCCACCTAAATAAATTGCTACTAACATTTTAACGATACCTGCCTAGAACTTCTAATTAATATCTACTAGCATAACGCCCCTCCTTATATTTATTACTACTATTAAGAGTAATAATAGCCTTAATATAGGCTAGCAGCCTCTCTATCTAGGCCTAGATTTACTCTTAAGGTAAGGCCTGCTAGTACTATTACTATGCTCTTTTAGCTATAGCTTAGTTAACTAGGGCACCTTTCCTTATTATAAATCGCTTTATCTAGGGCTAGTAAGGCTTAATAGGGTTAAGATTAGGGCTATTACTATACTAGTAGAGCTTTTTAATATAATAAGTAGTATATGTCTAGTAGATAAAGTAGTAATTATAAGAAGGTGCCTTATCTTTTTAGATAATAGTGCCTAATAAGCACTCTTTAAGTATAAATAAGAAAAGCTTTAGTAAAAAAATCTCCTTTTAGTACTAGTACTAGTTAATTCCTTCCTTACTTTTATAGACTAACTTACTAGTATACTTATTCTAGTAAAAAGTTAGTTTATAGCTAGGGAGCTACTAAAGCTAAAGCCTACTTATCTCCCTCTCTAACTCTTATTTAAGACGCTTAACTAGCTTTAGTGTAGTATTTATTTTTATAACCTTAGTATTAGTAGTTTACTATATTACTACTAACTTAAGTAACTAGTAGTAAAAAAGGCCTTTTTTATTATATATAAAGCAGCCTTAAAATATAAACTTAAAATATCTTTTTTATTAAGTATAAATATATAACTTTATATAGGCCTTATATACCTATTACTATAAATAGTAGCTACTATAGTAATAGCCTAAAACTACTAAGGTCTTATTAGACTAAATAACCTTTTTTTAATCTTTAAGTAACTAGTAGTAATATATAAGGCACTAAAAAAGCCTCTCTTACTTTATCTAAGCTATTAAGCTAGGCTTCTTTATTAGTTTAGATTTTCTAAAGCTAGCTTACTAAAGGATATAGTAAACTATTATAGCTAAGATATTTATATCTAGCTTACTTTAGAGCTTACTAGTAATATTAGTATACGTCTTTTCTCTACTATATTAGTTATAGTAGACCTTCTTAATAACAAGCTTAGCTACTATAAGTGTAGCCTTCTTTAGTTAGCTAGTCTAGGGGGTATTATTAATATATTTAGGTTATAAAGAGAAAGTAGGAGCAGTTAGATTAAAGCCTTACTTTTTTACTTATTAGAGTATATTATTAACTATACACTTTAATAACCTTAGGCCTTAGGCTACTTTATTAGCTAATTTACCTCTTAGACGGCTCTAAAGGGTAAGAATAACTGCCTGTAAAGAAGGGTTAACGCGCGCTATAGTTATAATAGTTAAAGGGGAAAAAGTGGTGTTGTTGTTGTTGTTGTTGTTATTGTTGTTAAGGATTGCCTTGCTTTGGCCCCTTTTGGCCCCTGTAGAGAGGAAAGTGGGTGGATTAATTTAGCCTTTCTGATTGGTTGGATATATATTAAGTGGGTCCTACTGGCCGGGGTTGCTCTGGGCAGTTGGGCATGGTTTTTTGAAATGCACCTCCGTATAGATTCATATAACATTGGCTTCTACCACAGACTCTCTACTCTTCATAGGAGTTGACTTCGCAGTCGATCAAGTCTAAAGATGGGGTGCACCAAAGGTGTGGAATAGATACGGAGCCCAAACATTTGCCGTTGTTGCCAAACGCCGGGATGTCCACTCAAAGCCGAAGAAGGGGATGGGCAAGTGCAGGATTCGATACGCACTACGAATACGAAGATCGATATAAATCGATCTGGCAACGGCTCGCACCGCCGTCGGAACAATATTCAGCTTAAGGACCTATTACCATTACTAATTGCGACACACTGAGTGGTCTCGATTCCCGAGGCTCAATACATACCGCGACCATCCCCCCTCCCCCCCCGCCCCCGGATTCTCCCCCTGCCCCTGGGGCGGGGTTTCGTCTCCTGCGGCCAGGGATATACCGGTATTCCTTTTCCCCACGTTCTCAGTCAAGCAGACAGATTATTAGGTATCTGTTACATTATATACCTTACCCACTGGAGATACCCGAGGCCGACCGAGGAGTCCCGTACATGCTGACCTGGGCCCGAATCGCTTCCCCGAGCCATTGTACGGATCTGAACAGCCTGTGCTTCGACGTCATGACCGGTTCCGTGTCGAGCTCGGGCGAGCAGCCGTCCGTCTCCGGAAATCAATCACATTCGAAGCGCATCCGCCTGTCGTTAGCCTGCAACCAGTGCCGGAAGCGCAAGGTGCGGTGCGACGCGCAAACGCCCAAATGTCACAACTGCATCCTCCGAGGCGACGACTGCCAGACCACGAACCCCCGGAACCCAAACCAGCATGCCGTCCGAAAATGGGCAGCCAAAAGCAATACAAATCAAAGCGAGGGCGGTAGCACCTATGAGACCTCGGAGACGCCGCGGGAGCAGTCGCACTATCGAACCGCCTCGCCCAGAGCGCGACAGTACCTGTCTCCAGCCTACGACGACGGCTCGGAGGGCGAAGCTGCCGCTTCACAAAAGATGTCGTGGGTTGCGCGGGCCTACCGCGCCAACGCCCGCGACAACCAGAGTCCGCATGAGCATGCGGATCTCAATCCTGACATGGCCTTGAACACCGACGAGAGCCCGCACCGCCTAAAGTTCATGGGTGGCAGTAGCGTTCAGTCGTTGACCATGTTTGCCGACCTCTTCTTCCGCAAACGCGGTCTGAAGCCCATATCACCCTACTTTCGGTTTGGGATGCATCACGTCGAAGAGTACCAAGTGCCACTTTCATTCCAACTACCATCACTCCCCCCGCTTCCAACCATGGACGCTTATCTAGACGTTTACATGAAGCGGATTTTCCCGCTATTCCCTGTGTTTGATGAACCTACGCTTCGCTCCGAGTTGGGTCGGCTTACAACGCTTCAAGACTCGGATTCATCCGCCGGGTTGCAGAACCTCATTGAACCATCACAGGTGCCCCTGTTGGTGTGCATATACAGTATAATGTGCATCGGCGCTGACGAAGAGACCTGCATGCTCACTGAGGTTGGCACTCATTACTTGACAGCAGCTTACAGCCTGTTGGCGCACGTCATATCAACCCCATACCTGGCCTCGGTGCAGGCCCTCGTCCTCCTGACCATTGCATTACGCGGCCGAAGTAAAGAAGGACAAGGCTGGCAAACGCTGGGGCAAGCGATTCGCATCGCTCACTCCATCGGCCTCCACCGCCATGCGTCGACAAGGCATTCTGGGAATACACCAGATGCAGGGAACTCGGTCCCTTCGCCGGGATACCAAGCCGACCGTAAACTCCACAGCCGAGTTTGGTGGGCTTGCTATAACCTCGAGAAGCTTATGGAGCTTGAAACGGGTCGTCCAGCTGCGATACACGACTCGGATTGCGATCACAGGCTGCCAGATCCCGTGCCCATCCCCAGCGCCGGGATATTTTCACTCTCAGCCTCGGAATCCCTCCATAATCGTCAGACCCTCGACTATTTCCAGCCCTGGACTTCTTTGAGTCGCATAATCAGCAGCGTCAGCGCTCACATCTACCGCCGCTCGGGACAATCCCAGACCTCTCGCATTCTGCTTGGCGACACAGTCCGCCTGGACTCGGCGCTGACAGAGTGGGCGCAGTCACTGCCTCCCGAGATCCGCCCTCCTGGCCCAAACAGCGGCAACGAGATCCTGTGCGAGACTGGTCACAAGCATCTCACAATTTTCCTGGCCATACAGTACCATCATGCTCTCATATCTCTTCATAGGGCCGCTTTGGTGTTCCCCGAGTCCATGTATCGGACGCACATCAACTACCAAGCCGACTGTGGCACTTTGTCGGCGGTGGAGCTGACACGCTTGAGGCGCGGTGCCGAAATATGCATTGGCTCTGCGAGAACGATTGTGAGACTTATCGGAGAAATAGCTGACGACTCTACACCAACGCCTCGGCCAAGAGGCGGCATGCTCGGCGAAGCTCCTCATACCAAGTCTGAATCCATCATCTTCACCATCACACAGCCCCTCATGGCGGCTGTGGCCCTGGCACTGCACATCCTCAAGCAACCCAGCTCGAGGCTCGCTCGCTCCGACCTGGAGCTTCTGGGGATAGCAGCACAGTACGCGGAAGAGCAGTACACCAAGGTCTCGCAGAACCCCCGCTTCATCCAAGCGTGTTCAGTCCTTCAGTCAAATATGTCAGAGATTGTATCCGGCCATCGGCAGCACCGGGGCTCGACAAACTCCATTGCAGTGGAATCTGTGCGTCACGAGCATGCGCTAGTAGCGGACTCAAACCCTGAAGCCATAAGTTCGGCTATGGACATGATGGACTTTGAGCTCCCGGATCTGACTGGAATGTTTACCGAGATCAGCAACACTGACCTATTTGGAGGTGTCCGACTGGAGAACCTCTGGGGCATGTTAGGTGCAGAGGGGCAGTTTGGGAAAGGCTCAGGGTCTTGGCCGCAGTGATCGAATTGTTTTTTATTTCCATGTGCAACCATTGTATTCATCATTTCTGTATGCTCGTGTAGCTTCTTGTCAATATACCACCAAGTTTAGATACTTAATAAGGAACCCAGATAATGTATTATGCAGTTTCGAGCACATTTCTCTTCTGCTTTTAGCAGACGCTTAATCTTTAGCCTATGGAGATGACTGGAGGCCACCTCAATATACTTGATAAGATATAGGAAGATCCAGGTCATCCACGCCGTCTTGTTAGGTATCCCACAATAGTCTATATTATGAAAGTATCTAGCAAAAGCCTCATGTAAGGTTGTCCTCCCTCCTCACCTTGCCTCCTCGCCGAAACCTAACCAGAAACCAGAGGAGGGGGGCAACGCCCAATTCTCCGCTCAGCTACAATATTATTTATTAGAGTATGAACCTGTGTACCTTTCTTATGCTGACAACATCTGGGCACTGCGAATACCTTCTTCTCTGTATCATCGCTTGGGTTTACTGAGAATGCAAGGACCTCCCTTGCATAATTCTTTTCGTCAGTATATCCCTATTATCATCAACGTTGATAATGTTAATCACGAGAACCACTAGGTCTTGAATATTAGGAAAAGTAAGATAATCAACGTAGCCCCATAGTAGTCAATATAGCTAGGGCAAGGCTGTTGGTTTAGGCCTTACATCTCTTATAGTTTTAGTCTTACTTAAGTGGCCTCCTTCCTTTATAACATAGACCACGTGCTCTTCCTGTATAGCTGGCGCGCTATTAATTCAAATTTGCCTCTATAATGTCTCATATATAAGCTTTGCAAGTTCTAGGTCCTCAGATTGTGGGAAAGGCACAATAGGATGCCACGGTATGTTCTTTATTTGCCGTTGCGAACAAATCAGGATGAGGGGGCTCGAGTGCTACCAGTATTAGGGATTCCGCGAGGCACATTTGATCAGTGAAGTTGGTTTCCCAATACCAGTCTGGCGTAGTTACAACCGCTTTCAAAGTTTGACTCTTCGGCTTCTTTTGTAGCATTGACCTAGAAGAAAATTGGCATATTCCTGCATCCCTGCTTTCCGCTTACGTCGTATTGGAGTCGTTCTTTTGGAACTCTACTTGATATGCCATCAGCTGTGAAAACTGCAGCCGAGACTTTCCAACGGATTTCATTTTCACACTATGACTGCTAACCTGATTGCGCGTCTGTATCCTTTGAAAAATCGCATTGAAGTACATTTATCCCTTGTCTCATAGTCGACGAAGCCAACGCGCTCGCAGATATGCTCAGGCCCCCCAGGTCTGCCACGAAGGAGGATCAGACAATACGTATCTGATTGCCGTTTTCGCAAGGTATTTCCTGGTAAGACACAGACAACCCAGCAAAAGTACCTGTCGGCCAAGGTTGTCGTTCCCAGAGGGCGGTCAAAATTGAAGGCGATCTTCTCCCCATTTCTCATCATTACGCCAGCCAACTGCTCTTTTGAACCTGCCTCGACTACAACATCAAGGAAAACACCCCGAACTGTAATGCTCCCGCTTGAAATGGATCCGGCAGATTCTTGGGTCGTTGAAACAATGCTGACCTCTCGTGCAGCCGTTTTCCCTAGAAAGCGGGGAGTGATCGGCTCTTCGGAGCCTGCGTACGGAATCCACATCGTAACCGGTCCATTGTGAGACGCCCACGACCACGATGGCGCGACGTATGTTTTTGAAAAAGAACGCTCAGTCTCCTTGGTTCGCACAGGCGCCCAACACAGGCTGCAGAGAAAGTCCGAATCCCACCAGTGTCCTGCGACATATTGAGTGCGTAGAGCGACTTGAGCTACACGAGCGACGCCAGACAAGGCTACAAGCCTGTCAGTGGCCACCGTGAGCCGTCGCCGCGTGTAATGCTCGACAGTACTCTGCCACATCCAGTTGGGTGTTTCAAAGTTGCTTAGCTGCAAGCGCGGTTCGTACAGCTCCTTGATCGTCACCAAGCCCAAAGACGAGCCAGGAAACTCGCACTCGCACCGGTACTCGCTGTCCAGGCATTGGAGGTTCATCTCGCCCCCGTAGAATGTTAGAATACGAGAGGCGAGAACCTCCTCCTGAAAACACCAACTGCGGCTCAGCGTCCCCTCTGTCTTGGGCTCTGCTAGAGTAGACCAGCCAAGCCAGCTATGGTCGAGCATTGCGCGAGCGTAAACCACAGAATGGGCATTTGTGTCCCGAGGAAGCTCGAACTTGATGAGACTCCGCGAGGTGTTTGCTGCAGACAAGAATCCATCTTCCACACTGGTGCAATTCGCGGCTGCGATTACTAGAAGAGAATTTCCGTAAATCTCGGCCATCTGAGAGGACTGTTCCTTCCAGTCTACTGAGTCTTTGTCGCCTTGGATGATGCATAGCCCATCAATCCACAAGAATGGGATATCTAACGCCGTTGCCACCGTTACTGCATCTTTGTATGTCTGTGGGAGTTTGACGTAAGAGATATTGTTGAAGTTTGCCTGAAGGTTGTCAGGGGTTGTCACGCCATTGTTTCTTGGGCCCCATGTATAGCTCAGGCAAACATAGGCACCGCTCATGCCCTCTGACTCTAACAGGCATAACTTTCCCTCGGTGGGAAATCGTCTGAGATCCAGGACTCTTCGCGGTAAACTTGGCGGCCGATTGATTTTGGGGCCGACCGAGGCATCAACGTGAGAGGCTGTGTTGCAGGGCTTCAAAGGTGCAGTGCGAAGCTCATCTTCAACCCTCTCCAACATATCTTCGTCAGTTGGTTTTTCACTGGCTATTTCGTCGGCCTTGGCTCTCAGACCACCTTCACAAGAGTGATGAATACGGCAAGTCTCAATCCACGCCTTGGCTTTGAGTAACCTGGCAGACCAATCTTGCGCCAAAGAATGTCCATGAATATCATGATAGGCTGACGCTTCGGTCGCCAGTACACCTGAATCAGAATACATCAGTGAAAGGGCCAATTTCCGAGCGCGTTGGACTCGACACTTGCCGTTATGTATCAATAACTCGAGGGTTCTTTCAGGACCAGCAGCAAGGTCATCCAGGATACGAAATGGGTAGCAAATCTCAATACTCTGCCCGAGTTGAAGGAGGGCAAATGCTGACTTGGAACAATCGCCCTCTCTGCAGCGCTGCAAACTGGTGGGCTCGCACTTCAGACATTTTGGGCTTGAGGTGTAGTCTTTCCAGCTAGAACTTAAATATGATAAAGCCTGCTCGATTATCAAACATCCGGAGCAACCCCAGGTTGACCGACTCTGAACCAGGCGTAAGTCCACGACTGAGATGATCTTGTGGATTCTTTGCTTGTCCTCACAAGGTGTACCTGGGATCAGATTTCTGCAGAAAAGACATCGGTCATGAGCAAGTGGCAGACGCTCAGGATCAAACAGTCCCACCATACTAGTCGGCGCGGGGTAATTGACACAGCTGAGCAAGTTTCCAGAAGATTGATCTGACTGGTCCAAGCGTAGCCTTGAGTGACAGTCATATGTTTGTAACTTTTAACGTTACTCTGATTCTTCCGAACTTGGAGCTGTAATCACAGGCGAGTTTCGTGGAAGGGAAGGGTTGTGAGCGCAGTGTTTCTGATGGTTATTTGTACAGAGTATTGGGGGTTTCTCCGTGGATCGTGATTGTGCATCTGATGACTAAAGGATTCGCGCCTTACCGGCGTGTCCGCCCCTTTTCCATGCCGCTTATCTAAGATAGTTCACTCCGAAGCAATGAAGTTAGAAACCCCACGAAATGTTCAGATCTGTGTCGAGCGTATTCGTGTCATACTACCAAGAAAGGGATCGGGAGTGGTTCGGCTCAAGACCTTTCCGGCGACAGCTGCTGTCATTTTGCGAATGGAAAATACATCGGGCCCGGATCCCACCTCCGACTAGATGGTCCACAGACACTGTAGCTCTTGTGAGTTGAGATGAGTTCAGCGGAGCTCCGGAGCAAGCGGGGTTGCGGAGGCCGGTGGAGATATATGGAAACGACGGTGCCCCGGTGCGGACTTGTGATTCATGTTATGGCGACGCATGATTCTTGGCTTAAACGTCTGAATTTCCCACCATTTCTTCAGTCGTCAGATCTCGCGCGAGGGTCAATGGATGGCTTCAATGGGCTGTTTGATTCTGAAGCGCCGCATGACATCGTCTGATCAGGACTACCAGTTTCATGCTCCCATAAAGGACTTTGTCAGTGTTGCCACGAAGCTCACCGGTATCGGTCATGGATGCGAGTGTGTGCATCTTACAAAAAGGCTTCGACGCCCCGCGTAGCATGGAGGGCGGATGTGGGGGTGACTCGCTTCATCCCCATATACTGTGACATACTTTGAAATCAAGTTGAACAGTAGCATACCGCGTCTCAAGATGGCTTTAGATACAGTGCCTGCGCCCTCCGAAATTGCTCACCTGGGGTTCCGATCCAAGAACCCCGAGAAACTAGTCGACTTCTACCAGAGATTCTTAGGCGCAAGGGTCCAACTCGCCAACGACTTCATTTCCCTTCTCGCGTGGGACAAGGAGCACCACCGCCTGGCCATCATCAACGACCCCTCGGCCGCTGCCAAAGATGAAGGTGGCTGCGGAATAGATCACATCGCACTAAAGTTCGCCTCCGTGGGCGACCTGGTTAAGGTATATCGGGCGGGCAAGGAGGCGGGCATCACACCTTTTCGATGCCTCAACCACGGGGTATCCAGCAGCTTGTACTACAAGGACCCCGATGGCAATCATGTTGAGGTCATGATCGAGGCCTACGACAACCCGGAGGACGTAGAGAAGTACATGAAGACCCTGGATCCCATGAAGATCAAGCTGGCCAAATTCGACCCCGAAGATCTGCTGCGCAGAGTCGATGCCGGGGAAGATGAGGAAACCTTGAGAAGAGCAGGTTTCATTGGCCCACCCCCTACAGCGCTGGAGTGCTGAGTTCATAGAACGGACGGAAATATTATTGAATGCGGTCATCATGAGGCAGACCTGCTCTGACAATGATAAGCGCGGCATGCTTCCTAACAAGTCCCATTCTTTGTATGCAATGGCTCCCAGTAGAATAGATTGACAACAAAATATGATCGTTATTGTCTTGTCATTGTTTCAAAGTTGACCCGGCACAAAGCTGGATCCAGGGCCATGCATAGAGGGTTGCGCAATCGTTTTGTACACAATAAATAAAGACATGGTATAACAGATCCTAACGCAGATAACGGTCACACGAAGATCCGCGTCAACAAATCAAACAGTGATTCCATGCCCTATATCACTACACGTCTTTGAGTATCCCAGACTATCCATTTGAGTCGTCGGACGCGGCGCTTCACGGGATAGGCCAGCCCCCTTGTTGGCACCTCCCTCCCTCCCCTGGCGTCACCGTGCCGGACTCCCGGAGGCGTACGCGTACGCGTCCGCAGCCACAAGCCTCCGGTCCATCCGGTCTGCGCCACTGGGCAAGATACAATGGCACCCGGCTCCGCAGAACCCTTTCCCATCCCGGGGCTGGAGCTGAAGCACACGCGCACCCTGTAGCGCATCCTGTTATTGTTATTCTCGCGGGGGTGTCCTAGGCTCCTTAATGAAGTACACGTGCTGGCAGGTCAAAGCTGCGAAACACAATCTGTTGTAGAGGTCTTGCCTCTCTGGTATTCATGTCACTTTTTGGCAGCAGGTTACCATCATGGCCAAATGCTGCATGTCCCTGGTCGCTCCCGCTAGGGCAAACTCGTTGACCCGTCAGTGGCGAGAACCCATGAACTTAATACAATGCCTGGGACCTCGGTGCTCACGAAGTACACCACGACACCGTTCCAGCCTCTAGAGTAGACATGTTCAATCTCCTGCATATCCAGCATGACATACTGAAAGCTCCCGGTGGGCTAGGCGAGAGGGCAGGAAGATAATTAGAAGGAGCGTGTAATCTATTTGCTGCTGGTACGCCTCAAGAGCTCCGATCCTCTACTTACATGTGCTCTTCTTTACGCCCCTCGGGATCCCGCCAACGGGATTCCGCCCGAGCGCTCTGCTTTTGTTTTACTTTACCCCGGCGAGGGGCATCATCATTGAACATGGCCCCCGGACAAAGACAACCATCGGAGCGTCCCGGCCGACTTCCGATCAGCGGGCGTCACGTTTACGAGTCAGTAGTAAGTGGTTTTTTTGGTTTTTTTTTTTTGGTTGCTGTTTTTCAACGTCCATCGAAATCCACTGCTTGCGTGATTGCCCACAGTCTGTGTCTATCTCTTCAATGATCACGAACTGCATGGATTAATTAGCCTGCGGAAAGCGAGCATCCATGAGCTAAGAGGCGCAGGTGAACCCGGCGCTCAGCAGAGTCGCAATTCCAACCGAGAGTCCTGAAGATCCCTGGGTGGACGCGCAATCACCTGGCGACATTGCGGTGTTAGTGCAATGGCTTCGTTTAAAAGTGTGCTAGTGAAACCGGCACCGAATTGGGATTAGTGTTCGAACTGAGCTAACAACTTGCACAAGTCTCTGCTAGACAGTAACGGGGTCAACTCAGTAGGTATCGTATGCAACGTCTGTTCGGTGTCAAAATCATTCGAGATAACCATACTTGCATGTTGTGAGCATCAAGTGTAATTGAACGCATAAGATTGGGTATATTTATCCCAGGGTCAGCAGAGGCTTCTCTCCTTGCTGCCTCCCGAGGCAAATTGAGAAGTCAAGCACGGATCTGGCTAAAACCTATAGCCACCTCCGAATGTTGGTAGAATGAATAATGATAGAACATCTGAGGATTCGAAACGGTGATCCAGAGACAAGCAATTATAATGCGCCGCCCATTAACCCTTGTTCACCAGAACGCCTTACTGTGCAGCTGAAGTTCCCTCGTCTAATGTACGTTCAGCCGTCATCCATGCCCGAAATAAAATGCAGAGATTTGTGTTGTCTCGCTCATCCGCCGCCCTCTTGGAGCGTGAGGGTGGTGGGAGGTCAAGTGAAGCCTCAAATGACCAGGCCCTTGCCGATGCCCTGTACTTGGAAGCCGAGCTTCTCAAGTTCCGGGGCAGAGACGACGTTGCGCCCGTCGAGCACTAGTCGAGGGCGCTTCATTACGGAGGCCGCCCACTCCCAGTCGACGGGGTCGCCGAGATCCTCGTTGGCCGCATCGAAATTGCAACCGTTGCAGCCTTCCTGGCACTCGGCCTCGGGCTTCATACGCTTCAAGGGGTCCGTCGGCGTGGAGGCGCTGGTGCGGGACACAAACTTCTCAAGCTCGATTATGTCCATCTCGGACAATGACTCCTTGATGAAGGCGTTGGCCTCTTCCCGAGAAGCCTCGGGGCTAGACCAAACGGATGATCGCCGAGCAGTGGTCTGGGCCTGCTTGGGGTAGCGGAAGTGGTACCAGGGAGTAAGGATGCAGATGGCACTCGAATCCTGGACAGTCTCACGCCAGGTCGCGTGGACCTTGACGCGCTCAACAACACGCTCGTCGCTGATGGACTCGCGGACCTCGTTCATCACCTCCACGGGGTCACAGCCAGGGTCGAAGATGGCAATCTCGTTGGGCATTTCGTGGGCGAGCTCGTTGATGATGTGCACGGCGATACTGTTGCGCGTGTCGTTGGTGTTCTCCTTGAAGGCGAAACCGAGAATGGCCACCTTCTTGCGGCGCAGGTTGCCGTTCAGAGCGCGGTGGACCTTCTGAGCGAAGCGCTCGCGCTGGTACTTGTTGATGTCGAGCACACCCATCCAGTAGTCGGCGACGGTGTCCAAGTGGAGAGTGCGCGCCATGTAGGCAAGGTTGAGGATGTCCTTCTCGAAGCAAGAACCGCCAAAACCAACACCCGCGTGAAGGAACTTCTTGCCCAGACGAGAATCGGCACCAATGCCCTGGCTGATCTCCTGGACGTCTGCGCCCAGCTCCTCACAGAGAGCACTGATGCTGTTGATGCTGCTGATGCGCTGGGCAAGCATGGCGTTGGCAACGAGCTTGGTGAGCTCGCTCGACCAAGTGTTCACGGTCAAGATCTTTGACTCGGGAACCCAGGCGGCGTACACGCTCTTCAGGGCATTGGCGGCACGGACACCGGCGGGGGTGGTGGAGCTACCGATGAGGATACGGTCCGGGTGCATGAGATCGCGTACTGCGGTTCCCTCGGCAAGGAACTCGGGGTTGGAGACAATCTCGAACTCGGCGTCGGGCTGGTATTGGGCCATCTATCGAGATATTAGCATCTTTGACGGTCGAGTGCTCCGGCGGCTGGATGCGGCGAGCGCATAGGCATGTGCGTAGTCAGAACTTACAATCTCGCGGATCATGCGGGCAGTGCCCGTAGGGACGGTGCTCTTCTCGACAATGACAGCGCCGGGCTTGGCGAACTTGGCCACGGTCTCGGATGCTCCCTCGAGCGCACTCAGGTCGGCGGTGTACCCAGCACCGAGGCCGTACGTCTTGGTGGGAGTGTTGACGCAGATGAGAACGATGTCGGCCTCGTGGATGCAACGTTCGACGTCGGTGGTGAAGCTAAGGTTAGGCTTGCGGGGTTCAAGCTTTACCGCCTTCCCGGCAGAGGGGAGAAAGGCGGTCGTCTCGTTGGTGCCATCACGGGCGATCCGCACAATCTTGGGCAGACCGGCCTCGTGGATGGGCAGGTGAGGAGAGTTCCATGCAGCGATGCGCTCAGCGTTGAGGTCAACAACGTTGACATTAAGGGCAGGGTTATGCAATGCGATCAGAGCGGCAGTTGGGCCACCTATATATCACGGTCAGCTCATCGTTCGGACTTATAGAGCATGCATCGGGTAATGAGCATGACGAGGGCTTTGAAGGTGAGGGCCGCATACCAACAAAGCCGGCGCCGACGAAGCATACGTTCTGGACCTTCATCGGCTCAAGAGGCTCGAGATCCGAGGCGTTTGAGACCGTCTCATGCTTGAACTCGGGGCTGCGAGGTCTGGAGGCGGGAGGAGACGAGTTCGGAGTTCCACTGCTGGAGCCGGCGTCCGAGTGCCCGGCGCTGAGGGCGGGGGACTGAGAAACCATACTGCCAACAGTTGATGTAGTGTCTGCTGTGACGAAGCGTGTGCGCGCGAGGTTTGCAGCCATTGAAGATATGCTCCGTTGACCAACAGAGCTGATGAGAAGGTATGAATGACGCGAACGGGGGCGAGGTCCCGGTTGGTAAAAGCGACGATCAGCGGGTAGCTAGGATGACGGTCGGGGGATTCAATTCAAAGATTTCCCGAGGCAACGGAAATGGTTTCCGAGGAGTTACGAGTCGTGATTTGGAAACAAAGGGCCCGAGTTCGTAAAAGGGGGAAGAGGGTTCCGATCTAAATAAATAGAGCCGAGGGAATGGCTGTGGGCGTCGTCGGTGTTGTTGTTGGTTGTTGGCGTGAAGTGCAGCGACCGACAGCTGACAGCGCATAAGATACCTGAAAGGTGTTGGGAGGGAAACAGAAACAAGGGTCTGATAATCTCTAATGAGTTTCTCCAAAGTCAGGAGCTGAGTTCCCTTGCGTTGCTTGGCAGACTCAGATTCTGCTTCCTTTTCTTTTCTTCTTCCGTGGATGTCGACACTCGGGTGAGTGGAGGAGTGACAGACAAGACAATGTCGAGTTGGGACCACACTTTTTTTGGGGAAACGGGGGGGGGGGG